ACAGCTTTCAATATTGATTAAATTATAGAGAGATGGGAAAGCATGAAGGGCTTGAAGGGAGCGGAAATTGCTATGCTAAAATTGTCTCACTCTCTCTCTCTCTTCTTTGGCATGTCGGCGAAGACATTTAACACAAAACTCACCCCCTCGCCCTCTATCTGGGGTGTTGTTAAATTAATGGACGCCGCGAGAGTGTTTTTGTGCCCTTTTATGGGTGAACTTTTTGTGCCCACACAACATATATGGCCAACAATATGACTCGCGGAAGTGAATAATGCTTTTGCATAGCCAAAAAATGTTTTCTGCCGCACACAAAATTGCAACCATGAATTTTCTCACTCTAGCAAAATTCCTCATTTTATGCATTTCCTCTGCTCTCAGCGTTCAACATTAATGAAACTCCATACATTTCCGCCTAAATGTGTGGTGTATTCTGGGGGGGAGTGAAAAATGTTGATGCGGAATGCGGAAAAATTGCATAATACATTTCCTGTCAGTTGAATGTAAATTACTCCACCCATCACATGTCCCTGCGCTCGCATGTGCATAACTCTTCCCCAATCATTGCTCGTCCTGAGAGAGCTTTCGCGCCAGAGCCACGAGTGTGCGTGCGTGTGTGTGTGCTTTTAAAATCACCAGTGACAAGTTAAAGCGACACCAGCAGCGACATATTAACCTAATCGGGGTCAAATTGACTCTAGTAGGGAGTCCGACTTTTAAGGGCGACTCCCTAACGGAGTCAGATTGACTTCCTTAAGGTCACTCATCGACATCATCATCAGCTGGAGCGCGAACGCCATAAATCACCGTGGGAGCTTTAAAAAAGTTCAGTGTTTTGAGTGTAAACAGTGCCGGAGCTTTTCCCACAAAACTGTGCGCCTGGACAGAACTGAAAACAAATTTCATGTCGAACATAAAATGTTCCACATCATGGCAACAACTTTCAGTTTGACGGCCCAGAAGGAAAGTGTGGAAAATGCTCAATAGGAGGACAGTGAAAACTATTTCCATAATAGACAATATTGTGAATATGGTGAAGCAATAATATGAGAAATGGTTTTGCATCGCATGCGTTTGCTCTCTCAGTTTAGCATAAAGGGAAGAAGTTCTGCTTTTCTTTTTCTCTTCTGACATGCAAAATACAATGGAAAGTTTTGAAAACTTATTGCATTTGATTAAAAGTTTCCAAATCCAATTTATTCGCTGCCCTTTTTTTTCCCACCACACTTTTTTCAATGGTGAAACATCCATTGATTTTCCATCCTTCTCCCAATTTGTGTGCAAATGTATCGGAAAATGATTTTTGGGACTTTGATTGTTCTTTTCTCCGGAAAATTAAGCACTTGCCCAAGAGCTGAGAGAAGAGAGGGAAAATTGCTATCTGTTAAAGTCAGAAATTACTCCCCGATTCATCCACAGAGTCGAACAATTTAATTATAAGCATTCAGAAATTCGGTGAATCCTCATGAGACAAGTCAGAGTTTGTTCTTTAGCCACACATACATATTGAGAGAAGAAAAAAGTCCAACCGAAACTTCCGCAAGTTTCGAATTCAAACTTATGAGTTGTTCAGCCACATTCAGTGTATTTTCGGTGAGGGAGAATCTCAATTGAAAGTCAGGATTAATTTTCATCGCAATCCCAGAAAATCCACCCTTCGTATTCACATATGAATTTGTGTGATTTTCAGATGGGGAGGAAGAGCTTTTCACCCCCTCGAAGTGTGGATTGGTTTTGTATTGAAACTTGGTATGATTGTTTGTCAAATTTTAAATTGTTTTTGACCAAGAACGACAACCACAGAGTTGCTCAACTGCAAAACCACACTTTGAGGTGGGATGAAATTCAAAACTTGTCACCTCAGCCCCTCTCAAATCCTGTTGTCATCCATCTGAGGGGGTTGTTTATGGAAATGGCTTCTTGCCGAGTGCGGAGCTCCACCAATTGCAAAACGATATACACTTTACAGCGAGAGTCGAAAGTTTTCGTCTATGTTTTCTCCATGTGGTTCTCCACACGAGAAGATCTCATTGAGCGTGAGTTGCGGGAAAAGTTGCAGGAAAATTGGGCCCCAACGATATGAGAGTGAGGGGTTGTCGAAGAACAAAAGTTATGTTATTGCAAACTTTTACATAAATCCACTCACTAACTCAACGCTAAGCGTATTACTTTCACACAGAGATGGAGGAGCTTTTTTGTGTGCATCAACAAGAGAGAGGGAAATGTTTTGAACACGCGCAGAAACCTTATATATTAATTAAAATCGACAATAAATTACCTGCACACGATGTGGAGCTTCTTCATGTCAAAAGAGCGTGAAGAGCACAAGAAGCTTCGTGAAAATCCCTTTAGCATGTGCTCTCGAGGGAGTCCTTTTTGGGCATTTTCCACCACCGATTTCGCCCCCTGTTCCCATGACGGGATGTGTAATGGGATTCCTTGCAAGATGGACAGTAATAGTTCAATTGTACCATTGAGCGCCCGAGCCTCTGTGGCCCTAATGAAACATTTCAGTTAATTAACATTCAAGAGATGGAGCCGTATTAGAGACCTCGGCATTTCCATGAAATTGGGCAAATATGGAAATTTTCTCCCAAAATTGTAATGATAGCGTGTATTAAAATTACACACATTCTCTGGGTTTTGCATGGAATTTAGCTTCATTAGGCATAATTGGGGGAGAGTTTTACGGAGGAGAGAAAGAGAGATATTTTGGGGTGGTGGAAAATATGCTGTATTGTGAGCTTATTGCTCCGTGAAAATTCCTCAAAATTGTAAGATGGAAATTATGCTAAAACATGCTATAAATTGAAACACTTCGAATACATTAAATTCACTCTCACAGAGAAAAACAACCCGGAAGGAGGCGGAATGATAGTCAAAAGTGCTGTTGAGAAGGGTTTGCTAGTTTCTGGGAAAAGTTTGTACATCGCCGAAAAGATTAAAAATTATTATTTAGAGCATTGTGCAGAAGTTGTGGGGAAATGAAGAGTTGTGCCTAGTGATAAAAGCAATTATAATTTTAATAATTCCTCTTGCCGCACACACTCTGTTCTCTGCAAGGTTGATAGTTTGGATGAGAAGAGTCACTTGAGCGACGGTTTGTGTATTGTTCGGCCAAAGCTGGAGGTTCGCAGTGCTTGGCAGGTGCTCTTCAAGAGCACCCACTGGCGTAATTGATGAAAATCTAATTATTTTCCGTGAAAATTAGTTCATCAACAGTCAGGGAGAGTGACATATTTCCCTCTCTAAACCACCCTTGCCTGTTCAGTTGCAAAATTCTCGGGCAAAGAGCTTTTGGCATGTTTTGCCAGCCAATCGATCGACGACGTGGCAATTTTCCCCATTTTCACCTCACAAACTAAACATCTCAAATGGCGAATCATCACCTTTCTCGTCACATCGCGTCTCTCTTGTATTTATCCATGCAACGCGGCGTGTCTTTAAATAAGACACACGGCGTTGGCGAGAAGAAGGATGGCGTGAATGAGTAAAAAGATTCTCAAGAATGACACTCGTGGCAGAGTGGAAATCGCGTGGGAGGATGTATGAAGTGGAGAAGAAGAAAAAAAAAAAAGAGGAGAACATCATGTTCATTGTGTGACACACATATAAAGCACACAAGAACAAGATCTTCGTACAAACTCCAAAGGTGGAGGAGAAAAAGGAGGAAGGCGAGAACTTGGTTTATTGCGGCTCAAAGCGATTTTCGCTCGAGAATAGAATGGGGAAAAAAAGAGGACTCTTGAGGAAGTTTCCTCGACAGAGGCGCGCAAACGAGGAAAAAAAAACAGTCGTGAAGACGAAAGAGATCTTTAACAAAAGAAATGTACTTTCTTTATTACTTATACCAAAGGAGACAATCTCTCAAGCTATTCTTTCTCCATATCTTCCTCCCTTTTGCTTATTTTGTCTTCTGTCAGGAGAATAGATACAGATATACAATTATAGATGTGTCTCTTCAAAATTCATAACTTCATTCCTTCATTGTCATTGATAAATGATAAAGAATATCCTTCTATATATACTCTGTATAAGATAATATTTGTGGAACCTTCTTTGCACTGCCAAATCTCTCCTCTCAAGCTCACCTTGACACCATTCCCAAAGGTGTGATTAATTGCCAAACCGAAGCACTTAATTTCCTCTAAGCGACGATGGAGGATTTTGCGATTAGGACACATACAAAAAGTCATTTCGCCTGAAATGGGGGACAAGGGATTTGCAGAGAGGGAGAGAGGAAAACAGTGTAAAATCAAGCATGATTATCACGAAGATTGAGTGCAATCGTGTGCGGTATGCCAGAAAGCGCGCACACACAGTGTTTGAAAGATCACCAAATCGTGCTGTATTGAGTGAAAGACCTCTTCCACATACGAAAGTTCTACCATAAACTTTACCATCATTACCAAATTCAGTTCACCCACTTTGAGTCTCATTTTCATCCCTCTCGTCTCACTCACTCTGGGATGCAGTGAATGCACAATTCCTCATTCCGATTCGCAATTGGATGAATTCCTTCGACACACAGGCAATGGCAACTCTCCGCACATATAAGAATTCCAATAGAAACGTATGTGGAACAAATATTTGCAACTTGTAATTAAAGACGAGCACAGAATAATCAAGTTTCACAAACATACATTGCAGCACAACTTCGTTGGGAACTTGTCGTTTTTGTCCTTCACAAACTTTACTCACAAAACAATTTCTGAATTTGATTCCTCTCTTCTCTGCACTTTCACCATCTCAGCACTTCTCTTCCAAAGTGCATTCAACAGCGTGAAGCTTGGGATATTTGCAGATCCCCATTCAAATTGTACCAGCTTATATATAGAATTCGTGTGATGTAATTTCAAATTGCAATAACACTATGACGTTTGGTTGAGCATTCTTTGCATATCACCTCAGCGGAAGTGTAATATTGCAATGCCCAGCAGTGTCTCAGCAGAGCCGACACCTTTTCTCACACTGCCTCTGTCTTTTGCATGTCCTTTCAGTATAACATAAAGAAGAAAGAGGAGCCTGTCGAGTTGGTGCAGGAGGAACCAAATCCACTGATGCGCAAGAAGAAGACACCTGAAGAACTCGCCGCAGAAGCCGAACAGGAGGATCTGGACGACTTCACAAGTAAGAAACACCCAAAGACAATCTCGCTCTCTCTCACCTTCACTACATCCAAACCGAAAAATCCTTCAGCTCATCTTCTTACACTTTTCGGCGTCCTTGATGTCACAGTTTCCCTTGAGGGTGAATCAGCGTGTTGACAAATAACAAACACTCTCACGATGTATGACACATTTGAAGGGCGCGTCCCGCAGATATAAACATTTAAAATGCACTCCAGCTCCAATTCGAGCGAAAATACATCCCCTTCTGTGACTCCCCAATTCGGTCTGTGGGTGAAAAACATCTATAAAAATCTCGTGTGCTGCTCAAGGCGCCCAACCACCCCATTTTTGCGGGGTGAATTAGGTGCGGTGTGGCAGCTTTCCAACACGGAGATCTGTCTTCTTTTCCCTCCAAGCCATCGTGCAAACATTTCTCCGTGGCAATACAGCATTGTTCACATAATTCTTCACTATGTACTCACGTTCATTGTGTGAGAAATTCCCGGAGATATTGCTGAACTCGTTTGATGATCTGGACAATAAAACTAAACAACATAAACAAGTTGTTATCTTCGCAGAGGCGAAAATGTCGGGGAAATCAACATTCATTTGATGGGTGCAAATTTAATAAATACAATGAAGGAATTTACTGCAATTCAGTGTCCTTCTCTCCATCATTTCCAATATCCCCCAATTTGGTGCGCTCTTTCACTATAACCCAATCTCCATAGCCTCGGGAAATGTCTTTTCCATTCCCAAGCGAAAGCACCCCTATTTGTCACTTATTGTCAGTTCTCTGTCTCGCGGAATTCACGCGCAATCCTTGCACACTCTCTGGCTGTCGAGTGATGAGAAGGGGGTGAAAAGCACCCCAAAACACACGAAAAAAAAAAACGACACCCAATGTCTCCACGACCTTCCAGAGTAGCAAAATCACGCTCGCCATTTTCATGATTGGCTTATTTATTTTATAGCAATTTCCTCGCTGTCTCTCTTATTGCCATTTTACACCCCCGACAAATGCTACAATTTTACATAATGTGCTCGCAATGGAGGGATTTTGCACAACATAATAGCGAGACCCTTTCCGCTCGCGAGGGCGGACAATGATGGGGAGGCGCATTCCGTGCCAGATAAAGAGTCAGAAAATAAAGTCAATTCATCGTGCTCAGACAGAGAATAAATCTACTTATTGAATTTATTTACATTGCCATCCAATTTCACATAGCATATGTGGAGGGATTTTTCCCTACGCCTCGCCGGAAAAGTGCGCATTGATGGCGCAATTGCTGCAAAAAAGAGCGAAAGCATTAGTGTGTATAAATATTGCATTTAATGAATTTCCCTCTCAATATTTACTGAAGGGATTTTATTGAACTGCACCAACAATGCAACTTTTACTGCGAATTACACGCATGTTATATATGGGAAAAAGTTTAAGCTTTCTGCACTAATTAATAGAATGTGATTGCAATGTGTTTGAAATATTGCATTCGATGTATTTTCTGGATTTGATTCCCAGAGAGAGTACAAATTGAATTTTTCTACACATCACCAATTCTGTTGTGAAATTAAATTGAGAGCTTTTAGCAAAGGAAAAAAAGAATCACAGTCGAAAAAGCAATGGCAGATAATTCTGCAAACAGTGGCTTTAAGAGCTTGATTGGGGACAATTTCGCCCTTCGCGCTCGCACACAAGCTAATGTAAATACATGGGCAATAAAGTTGAAAGGATATTTTGGGTGATTTTCCATTCGGCCTATTTGTCGAGGTGAATTCAAATATTGCCACTCTGTGTGCGGTGTTTAATATTCATACACGGTGATCGTGTTGAATTAAATTCTTTGTGGTGTATTGCCGATGGGAATTGTATGGAAATGTGCGCCAGAGTGCGCGGTCTGAGGGCTGCACAATTGACTAAAATGACTAATTTAAAACCCCTCAGCAATATATATCCCATTGGGGATAGTGGAGAACGCACCCAAAAATCATTTGCATTGATTAGCACGGAATATCAATAAAAGTGATTTCATGCAGCATAATCGCGCGCTGCACAATAATTTGCCCATAAATTTATGGACATTACAGTTGAAATTCTAATTAATTACCTCTAAACACTCTGCTTATGGCTGTTTTTGTATCAGCTTAAGTGGGATTTTCGATGTGTGTGCGAATCAATGCACACAGTGTTCCAGTGTTTTAAATCCACCCACACCCCCACTCTTGACGCCCACTCAATCATCAGCAATGTTCTAATCTGCGGGATGACCCTCCAATTGTTGACAATGCAAAATACTTGACATTATTTGATTTACTGGCAAATATCATATCAATTTCAATTAGATTGGACTTGGAAAATCGACGGTGCAGCAAAATTTTCACATTACATTAGCATATATAACATATCTACAATATATCTAATGTAGTATACTCGTTTTATTCAACTTGATATTCACCATAGTTTGCATGAAGTTCAATACTGTTCGCGTCAATCACAAGCGCTTTGCGATTTTGCGTTTGAACATTTCAATTTCAGCGCCGGAAATCAAGTAAGACATTTTCTTTGCTGTGCAAGTAATTTTTAGTGTAGAGAGAATTTTTTTTATCAAATATCACTCTAGGTGTTCCAGTGGGAGTTCTTTTTGCCACAGGCAGATGTCAAGTTGCGCGTGTGGAAAACATGGAAATCCATTTAGGCGGGGAATTTTTTATAGAAACCAAACTTAGATTAATGAATTGACGTGAAACAGCAGAGAGTAAATATTGACAGGAGATTGATATTCGCTCCCTCCGGGAAAATGTCCATTGGGCGAGATTAATTCCAATATTTGGAAGGAGCTCGAGAGTACACAATGTTAATCTTTCAACTTTTGCAATTTTCACCCCTTTCGAGGGTCGCAAATAAACGAGATTTGCCAGTCAACCCGATATTTCGTCCAGGCGTCTTCCGTCGATGGCATGAAAAGTGGCCATAATATCTGGGAAAGTGAATTGTGGGGGGGGGGGGTTGGGTGTCGTCGAGGCTTTCCCACAGGAGGGGTTTGATGGGTGGGCGAAATAATAAAATGTTGGTTGTGTTTTGGAAAAATGACGAGAGAAAGAGACGCCTCTTGCCGTCAATTTTATTATTTGCCACCAAACTTTTCCACCCACATCTTCGCCAGAGGGTAATATTTCAATTAGGAGCGAAGGTCTGGCCGGAGATGAGGATGTAGAAAGTTGTCGAATAAATTTCTCTAATTAATTTAAATTGCCATATAACGTGAGAATTATGTGACTCTCTAATTACTCGCCCATTTACTGCACAAAGTATGTTATAACTTCTTTTTCCCTTCAACCACCAACCCTGAGAAACCACCACTTCTTCCCATCTTTCTCCCGCTTTTCCTACTCTATCTCTATGCAAATAAAAAAAAATCTATTTTCTACTATCAATTCTCTACTGTCGTCCACGCAATCCACAATCAGGCAATTCATCACCATTCATGGGTGTTTTCTATTTTTTCTTTCTCTTCTGCCCTTTCAGAACTGAAAAACTCAATAGAAACACAAGTGAGTGAGATCAAGTCGCAAATAGAGAGCAAATGCGTTATGCAGTGATATGCTGGTCGTCAGTAACAGAAAATGGATTTGTGATTTCGACGGTGAATGGGCTGAATATGATCACATGATAGGCATTCTTAGTTGTTCGCGGCAAGTTGGCTAAATTTAGTCCACGTAGGGAAAAAAATCACATACCTATTGAAGAAATTATACCTTTAAAGTGAAGAAGAAAAATGAGAGAGAGAAAAGTGTAGATAAAAATTCATCCCCCAAGAGATAGAAGACGAATATTAGGAACAACTTACGAGATGATATGGCAAGTTGATGACGAAACGAATAGAAACTATGCGGATATTATGGAACATCCAGCAAGAGAAGTAATAATAAAGAGAGAAAAAAAAATATGTAAGCAAAAAAAGCACTGTAGAAATATAAATAACAAGAGAGAAATTTATTTTTCCTTATGGCTGTTTAGCAGAGAAAAAAAAATAATGAGAAATGGGAGAAGGAGAGTAAAAAAAAAGTAGCATTTTAAAGTAAAATCACATGAAAAGAGGATTCACGAAGGAATGTCGTAGGAAATGAACATTGAAATTATTCGAGTTGGTTTGTCTCCTCCAAATTAGTTCACCGCCTGAGTGTATCATTTCCTTAAGCAAATAAATACCGAGAGCCAGCAATCCTGGAGATGGCAAATAAGGAGGACAATTTCGACAGAGAACGTAAATAAAATAATTTTCCATAATATATAGAAAATAGCGGAATACACTTCTGAAATGCTGAGTAAATAAAATAGCCTGCAAGAAAACATGCAAAAGAAGAAGAAGAAAATATATTTTAGAGCATAATGAAAATGAACACTTTTTCCTTTTACCATTTTAGAGAGAGATGATCTTCATTTGAATTGATAGCCATTTTATTGGATAACTGGAAAAAAAAGAGATTGAATAGTGAAAAAAAATAAATCTGCTTTACAAGCGTATGTGATACATTCGAATTCAATATTTGATAAAGAAAAAAAAATTAGAAATATAAGGCAAAATACACAAGATAGAACTGAGATTTTGGCGGGAAATACTCTCACTCACATGAAGTGAATCATGTGATACTCCTCACGTGCCTGGTGACAGTTTTCCCGCTGAAAGTCACCATCGATCGAGCCAATTTGAGATTGATCAACAAGCAAAATATCAGCTGAAAACATGTGAACAACAAACATTTTACACCACAAACACAACAGAGAAACACTTTCTTTGCCAAGCTCTAGATGGGAGAAAAAATAATTGGAGTTCATGGTGAAAATTCCTATATAGAAAAAGCACCTCTCTGAAATACACACACACACAACACAAGAAAGCTTCACACTTTTACGCTATGAGCTTCACAAGCAGCGCTCTGACAGTGCTTTTTTCAACAGTTTTAGTTCAAATGTAGCGCTGCTTGGCCTGAAATCCGCCCCCATTTCATTATGGTTGCGGAAAGCTCAAATGATTTAATGTCTATATAATTGAATTTAAGTGTGAAAGAGAAAATGTTCATCCAAATTCCTGAAAAACACATCACACTATATAACTTAAAACTTCTCTTGACAGACACAGTGTTTGCTTATTAAATGTGCGCTGTTGCATCTCGCTGTAAACTCTGTATTAGAGAACAATTGGATCTCTGCAGATCACTGTGGAGATGACTTTGGGGAACGGAGAGTGTGTATGTGTTAAAAAAGAAAAGAAACTGGAACGGAAGGAAAAAGTGTGATAAAGCGCGGTGTCTCAGTTGGATGCTTACGAGGTCTCTTAATTGCTGTATGTGAGAATTTTCACTCTGCTTTTCTCGCGCTGTTTTTTGCATAATACCAGCCCAGAAGTGGGGAGGAGAAGCAGCACAAAAAATGAGACACCGTGAGGAAAAGCTGCGCTGGAAAAAGCTCTGCATGATGTGCAGGCACAAGTTTAGATGGGTAGAGAGACGTTTTAGCAATTGTTGTAGCAAATTTCTGCATGCTCTTTGTCTTTTCGTCTCACTTGTCTATCTCTTGATGTCGTAACATTTCCATATTTTCAATGTTACACCCATGGAATAAAATAGCGTTTAAGCAGGGGGGGGCAAAAGGACACGATAAACAACAAACTGCTACCAATTCAGTGTGACAACTTTACATATTAAAAGAAAAAAATGCGGAGGGAAACAAAGATGGTAAAAGTCCTCTACACCATCATTTGAATAATGTCCAGCAATTTATTTTACATGTATGATGTTTTACTTATACTTTTACGACCATCCATCTATCTCTGTGTGTGCATGAATTATCTTCGTCCCAGAATTTTGTAACAATCATTTGTCGGCATTGGAGGAAGAAATTGCAGAAGCTTCTGCCAAGATATAATCATGAAATATGGCGATGGCAGAAACTTTAATGGGCGACTTGGAAGAAAATGCCTCCAAAATTTCTCTCTCTTTGCGTTTCTCGCCAACAAGAAATTAATGGGAAGGAAAGATTTTTTTTTATTACATTTTCCCTCCCCATGATGGACTAAAGGGTTAATTTAAGGTTTTGGGGAAATGAAGGAGGAAAAGCTCTGCAAGAAGATGGTAAAGAAACACTCCAACAAAACCGGAAACTCACCATAAGCTTTTACTTTATGAGGGAAATTAACGAGATATTTATTAGAGGAGTGAAAAATTATTATGAGGAAGGATCATTAAAGAAAGAAAAAAGAAATTCCCTATTTTAAGGAAAAGAAGATAGCAAAAAAAAACCAACAATATTTACGTCAATTAAAAAAAAGGAATAGAGCAAAAACATCCATCTAATTGATATATTTTGTCGATACAGAGAGGAATGAGAATTTATTTACTGACGATGGAAGGATATATCATTGAACCACACGAGGAATATTAAAGAAAATAACTAAATGAATAAAAGGGAATATCAATAAATGAAGAGTAGAGCAAAAAAAGAGAATCATATTTACAAGATTTCGTGTTATTTTCCTATATTATCTTACTATAATGTAAAGAAGAAGAGAAATGAATTGTATTCTAACATAGTACGTATATATTTGAGATTCTAACACCCCGTCGATTTATAGCAATTCCCCAATTTAAGCATTGATTGGGGGCATCCAAGCTTCATCCCCTAAGAATCATTTGTGTTGAAGAGCAAATTCAGACAACTTTCAGACCTTTTTGTATAGAAAAATCTCTCTCGCGCTTCTCAGTGTCTAAAAACTTAGTGACTCTAGAACTTGAGGTTCAATATCAACAAAGACTTCTTCAGCTGTTTCACCGAACTTTCAAGAGGCATTAGCAATGTAAGATGAAGAAGAAGAAAAAAACACTACAAGTATTCAACTCTTGATCACTTTTTGAAAATCATAAACAATCAATGTTTATTCAATTCAGACACCATTTGTACTGTATTTTTAAGCTCTCATTTGTTCTGAAATATGATTTTTCATCAATGAAAAAGCATCTCTATGAAGAACACTTGAAAAGTTCATGTGAGTGAAATAATAATTTTGAATGAATAAACAATAATGAAACAATAACAAAAAATACTGCGTTCACTGTAGTTGATAGTGGAAAAATAATAAATATTAACTTGTAATATTGCGGCATTGTCGAGAGGATGGAAGCATTTTATCGGGGGGAAAAAAAATAATAAAATTTTAATCAATGCAAACAATTTTTCCTCTTTGATAAACTGAAACATGTTTGAAAATGATAAAATATGGACTGGAAAATATTCGTCGATGAGGGATTATATATTGATTATATCGTAGAGGAGTTACGGTTTTTTTTAGTAAATTGTAATGAGGGCTGTTTAATCGTTTTTTTCCACCGCTTGTATAATGAAAAACAGTGTGATGTTTAAATTTAACATGACAATTCCTATTACACGCGGAAAAACCATCGTGAATTTGCAATTTAATTGGCTAAATTAGCATCTCTTGATGTCTCCTTTTTCCTTATGAGTCACGAGACGTGGTGCTAAAAAGCACTCTCATTGTGTGGTCGTTGCATAATGTTGGGATGATTGATTGCACGGTGCTGAAGTGTAATCAATTGCCACGCTCTAGAGCAAATGATTGGTGTCAAATTCTCTTTAGATCATACATATTGCATAATTGTAAATGTACTCTAAGTGTCGTTCTCTCTTCCCGATCCTCCTTCACCTTCTATCTCGCTCTCTCTCTCTGTCTCTCTCTCTCTTTGTCTCTTCCTTTTGCGCGCCAAAATAGAGCTGCCAACTCACAGGCATGCAGATTCAGTGTGCATCTTTCGCTGTGTGTCTTCTTCTCTGCAAAATTGATTGCATCCTCCTTTCTATGGCTTTCTTCACTTCTCTTGTGTCTTCTCTACCCTCCAACATCTTAAATGTTAATCTATGAAATATTCAATATTACGGAGAGCATTTGAGATTCACTCTTTGTCTCCTGTGAAATTGCATTAAAGTTTCAAGGAGAAAAAAAGTATGAGAGACAAATTTTTATCGATATATAAAGCTATCTTCGCTAGCTGCACAACTTCTTCCAACACTTTTCACTCACCATTTTCCCCCTCATGACCCTTTTCCCAAACCCTCCCCCTCTTTATGTGAATGGCAACATTTTTATGCAATGGCAAATGCGCCACAAAACACTCCTTTGAGACAAAAAAAATACACACGAATATCGTTAAATCTTCAGTGTTATTGAAAGGATATAAATTAATAATGTATAATTATATATCAACGAAATTGGAATTTGGGTGGAACAAAATCGGTGTTTTGGTAAAATAAAAAAAATTTCCCTTTCTTTTCCATGCACTTTTTCCAAATACAATTTTTCTCTAAATGTGGCATGTTTTATTGATAAATTGTATAACACACAGAATTTTACGTAAAAAAAAGAGAGAACTTACAGAATATGAATGGATAAAAATGGGAGGAAGAAAATCAACATGAAATACACTCATTGATTGCGATAATTTTTTGAGAATATACTTGAGAAGAGAATCCACTGCCTTATAAAGAAAAATTAGAGACATGATGATGAAAATGTGTAAGTAATAATTAAATCTTAAAAAAAAGAAAAGAATGATAAGGATGAAATCACCACACATAGATGAAGACAAAAAAAAAAGTACTTTAGATGACCTAAAATGGCGCGATAAAGGTGTAAATTGGTGACAAAAATAAAGACAAGCGTATGATTTAGGAGAAAAAAAAAAACTCAAGTGTGAAGATTGACCTTAAATTAGTGACTCGGTTTCAAAATTGATTAACCTCCTGAGTGGATGGCGCGAAGACAAGGATATCAAAGGAGAGATGTGAACAACGAGCAGGAGGATTAAGACACTGTACACAGAATATTAGAACATGACAGATAAAAAAAAGTCCTGTGAAGCATTTTTTAGGAATCCTCCGATGTTTCCTAGTGTCAAATTTAGTATGATTGGCAAATTCTCCGCACAGAAAAGTACCATAATTTATAGTATCGAAATTCCACAGCCAAATATATATAGTTGTAAACATATTCGACACTTCAGAAAACTCGTGTTCATGAGAATTCAAGCACCTTTGAACGAGCCTTTGTGTACGTGTAATAAATGTGAATGGAAAAGCAATCTATATAAGATGAATTTGTGTAGAACAAGTCAAACATTTTAAAAAAAAAAAGAATCACTGTGTATAGCAACTTAATGAGACCCTCACGTGGCTGCGAAGAAATGCTATTGACATATTGAGGATGGAAAGCGACAGAGAAAGAGAGAGAGAAGGAGAAAAAAGCAGAGTTTGTCGACATTTGAAGCACTTTTCAATCAACGACTCATTTCTGCATTAATCAACATGGGAAAAGGAATCTGCAGAGTCACCTCAGCCAATATCGAACGCTTTGCCAGCGGGAAGACATCAGGAATTGTACAAGATAAGCATATTTATCAGTGCAGAATTCTCACTCTCTCTCGCTCTCTCTCTGTGTTAATGTGCTTTTAAGATTAGACACCGACTCTGCTGCTAAAGTGCTATCGAGGAAATCGATTGAGAAATTGTGCATATCTCAGGCCAAAAGACACAGCACAGCATGTTTGAACAACCTCAAGTATGTCATCGCATTTCCACCGAAAACCCTTCGTTCACACATGAATAAATTGGAAGAGATTCTTACACTACCTCAAGTAGCAAACATGACGACTAAAGTGTTACCATTAATTTCACTAGATATCTCTTTATGTATCCAGAAGAGTAAGAAAAAGGGAAAAAAAGGAGCGGAGAGAAAAAAAAGCAGAACATGAGATAGAGTGTAAGTTGAGCATTAAATGTTGGTTCCGTTTTTTTCTTGTCTTTTCCATCGTTGTGAAAATTGGTTGTTAAATATAATGGTGGAAGAAGAAGAAGAAAAAAAAATCGCAATGTGAACATTGAACACACAAATCACGAGACAACGACACTAGTACATTTAATAAGAGAAAATAAAAAAGTGAATATTGCAAAGAAACTTTAATATTAAATCGCGAGATGGTGAAAAGAAAAAAAAATTTTAAATCCAATCAGTAATAATAAAAAAAAAACAATGTGAAACTTTCGTTTTCTAGCCATTTCCATTGGGTTCTTTTGTATGTGAAAAATATGAAAATGAAATAAGCAACAAGATGTGAACCCAGAGCGTTTGCAAGTCCCTCACAAGCCAGCATCTTTCATTGCAATGTGAAGAAATATAATGTAGGCAAAGAGCTGGTTAGGAAAGCTCTTTCGCCTGGAAGCACTCGAAGTTGCGAGAGCCGAGAAAATAAGAGTTGCATAGAGATGCAAAAGGAAAACCCTTGAGAAAGGAAAACTTAGTATTAAATGATGAAAAGTATATACACCCTTACAATATATACATAAAGAAGAACTAATGAGAAGAAAATGATTGTTGAATTATATATTCAGGAAGTGAAGGTAAAAAAAATGAAGCTAATTATCGTTCTGTTCTGTCAACTCCAATTCACTTGTGACACAACACACACTTGGAGACACACGTGAGATGCGGGGAAAATATGCCCGTTGTCGCAATTAATTGGACAGCCTGAGTTAGAAAAGTGGAGCCAAATGTGTGGCGAACGAGTGTTGAGAACCTCTGGGAAGTAACATTGGAAATCATGCTCTCAATCGCAACATTTTGGTGAAACCCAAAAAAAATGTGTTACACAAAAAGAGTTTCGTTCACGTTCAGTTAGACAAAAAAAAACTGATAAGAGAAAAATTGCTAATGAGAAGAAAATTAGAAAAAAAATTGAAGTGTAGTTATAGCTATTTAGAGAAGAAATATTAGGTCTATTTATATATAGGCCGACTGAAATTGTTAAATAATATATTTAAAGAGAAAAAAAATGATGATGAAAAATGACGACATTGAATAAAAAAGTGAAAGAAATTCTAGGCAGAACATTTATTTGCAATTTCTCAGAAAGAAAGCCTTTTTTTCTGTCTCTAAACCGCGCAAGAAAATGAAAACCTCTTCAGTTTTTCTACTCTTTCTGATCATTTTTGCTCTCTTCACTGACTCAATAGTTTCAACTCCATTTGTCTCTAGAAAGAAAAAAACCCCAACACTAAATATGCATATATAAATTTCTTTGATTTCCGTAACTTCTTAGATGCTAATGTAAAAAGAAAAATAATTATATAAAGAAGTGAAAATAGTATTGAGAAATTAAAGAAGAAAAAAATGGTGAAATGCCGGAAAAGGTGAAATATTATGGCACATGTAATTGTTGTTATTATTACCAAGAGAAAAAAAAAAACTTAGAAGATTCCACTGAGAGAGATGATAACAAAAAAGTAAAAAAAAAATATTATTAAAATGCAGTATGTTATATTCGCTAATGATTACATACATTTTAAGAAGTGTATACTGTTGAGAAATAATAAAATACCATTGAAAAATTACCAAAAACCCGTCCCTCAATCACTCTCTAGCCTCTTCAATCGGCGCTATCGCGTGCCATCTTGGGGGTGATAAGGAAGAGTTTACTGCCTCGCGGAGATGCTTCAGAAGTTCATGGGAACATTGAGTCACGCAGTAAGTAAATACAACAGCGCGTCAGCAATCAATTGCGATGTTGTGAAAAGAGTAAATACAGAGCATTGTAATTTATGTACACACACTGATCATTTTGTGGAAATGGAGTGACTTGGGAATTCTTGCGTTTTCTCAATGAGATTGCGCGGCGGATGCCAATTTCCTGATGTCCATATTCGAGTCACGCGGTCGCACGCTCTAGGCCAAGTCACGCTTCCCATCCAGTCGGGCCATTTCCTTCTCATCAGCGTGCGTCCTGTAGCGCTCGGCCAGATCCACCTCTGGCTCAGGTGCCACGAACGTCTGCACGTACAGCAGCGCCGCGGCGACGCCGCCAAGAATTGGACCCACCCAGTAAATCTGCAAAGCAAACAGACTGTTATCAGCATCACCGGCAAATTGCTCTTGCATCACAGCTCAGGAATTCCAGGGCCCACAGGCACAGTTTTTCAACTAATTGAATCACAATGATTGTTAAGAAATCTCGCGCATTATTCACACTTTTTTCGCGATAAGTAATAAATGTAATTGCGCCGTGGAAATTGATATTCTCCGGGAAATCCACTCACCCAGTGATTTTCCCAAATGCCCGAGAGCAGAGCCGAGCCAAAGGTCCGAGCCGGATTCATGCTGGCTCCTGTGTATTTGATTCCTGCCAGATGGCCGAAGACCACCGTCATGCCGATGGCCAGCGGCGCCATGATCTTCGAGTCGGGCTTGTTGTCATCCACCACGCCGAACACCGTGAGAACCAGCACGAAGCCGAGGAAGAACTCCATGCCCAGACCCTGCATGGGCAGCACATTCTCAGCCAGTCTGGTCATGCCGAGCGTTCCCTGCTGCGCCTCAGGGATCAGCGCCTTGACGCATCCCGTGCCGGCGACAGCTCCGGCACACTGCGCCACGATGTAGAGCAGCGCCCTGACGAAGGAGATCTTTCCCACGGCCAGCAGTCCCACCGTGATCGCCGGATTGACGTGTGCCCCCGAAACATGGCCCAGTGACTGCAAGAGAGAGAGAGAGAGGGAGAAAATAACGCATAAATCCCCGCATAATCACAACTTCTGCTTCCAAGTCTGCAAATTTGATTTGTCTCAATTAAAATGCACTAAACCACTTAAACAAATAGACGCTGTAATTAGAGATACGACCCAGATGAACGGAGCAAACCACCATGCGCAGAAAATTGACTTGAACTCCCTTCGTTGCTCGTTAATTAAAATGCTAGATGGGTCTTTTTCGCAACATCACTCTCAATTGCATAAAACCAAACGCGTGTGTGCAGTCATAAACGCCTGAATTGCTTTGGGGAGTCGATAAGAGCAAAAAAAGAGAAGTTAAATTCGAACGCCATAAAGGGGTGAATCTTTTATGAATTTCCGTGGAAATACTCAAACACAATTTTACGAAACACTTGCCAACAACTCGTGATTTTTCATTATGCCGGCACGATAAAGACATCTCATGATTTGTAATTACTCAACTGGACAATTTCGGCTAATGACGCTAAGACTTTACGATGCACCATTTGCTAATTCTCCAACGTGAGAATATCTCGGCGAGAAGTGGTCTCTCGACTGACACCAATTCAATCGATAAACTTTTATCTCTCTTTCGCGCCATATGACTTCGCGAATAAGTCTTTTTCTGCAATTCGTCTTCGTCACTGGCCCCAGACAATGATTTCACGCGTTGATTAAGAGCAATTCATTAGCACGTGCCATTGAGGATTAAAGTGAGAAAGAGAGAAACTCCCAAAATCGAGGGGTGAATTGCACTCGCGAAAGTCACAATCTCACAACGATGAGATTAAGGTTCAATTTGCTTAGTTGATCACTTTGTCATATTAATGATATGGTAATGAGTGGCTCAAGTGTGAAAGAAGAGATTTTTTTCGCCCTCTCGAGAAGAGAAGAAGGCAAAAAGAGCGAAAAACTGCCCATTTTTGAGCAACTAATGAAACTATTGTGATCAGTGAGCCAATTTGTACACTTCATTACTTAATTCTGTCATGTTCTTTCTATTTGAATCATTTTAACCCCACAATTAAATTGAAATGCGACTCTGATAATCTGTGCTCAGTTTAATGTGCTCAGTTAAGTGGGATCACGTGTTATTCGCCCCTCGAGTGTGATTTTGTGTGGCAAAAGGCAACAAATTTTCAGCCAGCGAAATTTCAGGTTATCTCAGTCAGTCCAAGAGTGAGATTGAATGCTCAGGTAATTGCTGAAGGGCTCAAGTTGAGGCGCCTTCATTGTTTTCCCGTGAAAGGCATCTCGAGAGCTCATCCAGAGGAGTGAGAGAGGGTGAGAGAGAGAGAGAGTTGCACCGTGTGGACGAGCGGGGCGCAATTAACTCCGGAATTATTGAATTATGCACCTCAAATGAGTTTGGAGTCCTCGCCGAATTCGCCATGCGGCATTACATGGCGGGAAATTCCAGCAGGTCTCGTGTGGCACACAAATGAATGCTATTTGCACAGAATATTAATTTGAAATGGGTGATGGCGAATCCAACCCCGAGAAAGGTTATCCGGTTCTCTTCACGTTTCTCTTCCTGCCACTTTGGTTTGTGCACGAGTGGGAATTGAATTTGAGGCGAGAGACCTGAAGGAGAGATGCCCCACAGGGATGCGAGCGAAAGACACCCAGATGATGATGATGAAGGAAATACCAACACATTGTGGAGTGTGTTTTAATTATTTATTTTTGGTTTGGGGGGGGAGAAAAACGGGTGAGAAATGGCGAAGGAGAAGTTGTGTTGACTCTTCTAATCTTTCTTCTTCCTGGGCACAATTGCAGCGGGGATTTTAATTGAATTCACAGAGATTCCCGTATTTTCTTCTGTCCGGGAGTTACATCATCTGTGCGCCCAGAGAGAGAGAGATTGGGAGTGGGAAAAGGCATTGACCAAACATGCCAAGACGACCCTCTGTTGACAACCTTGTTCGCCAGCTGCAAGATTGCCAGCTCAAGTTGCGACTGTCTTAGATTGTAGATGACAAAATATACCCTACAATTCTCTATGGTTTTAATTAAATTATCATAATCTTCCGAATTACACGCCACTCTTTATCGCATACACTTCAGCATTATCTCTCTCTCGTGATATTCTTATGCAATTCTAATCCATCATGTCTCAAGCTAAACCTCTCTCTCTGTCTGTGTCAACATCTCAAACAGAATTGCAATTAAATTCTCAACGACTCTGTGCCACATTTGACAACAATAATAATTGAATTATGGCAAAGACGAGATTGTTTTCCAATTTCAATTACTGATTTGTCTCTCTACACCTCGCCAACAAGCGTGTTTGGCCAAAAATAGCGACCCTGGCGAAAAGTTGCGCACACGGAGAAAGGTTTGTCTTTAGCATACTCAACGCCGATGCTACTTGCTTGAGTTGTTAACAGGTGAATGGATGCGATTTTATTATTGCAATTTCAAAGACAGCAATTCACTCTCTCACTCTCAAATATGGTTCTGTGCGAATTGCATGAATATCAAGTGGTATTTTCTCCTCTCTTGGTCTCAAATCGTGCAATTTTCGCACCAAAATCGTCAGTGGCAAATTCACCCATTATAGGAGACTGCATTCAATCGCCCCGAGATTGCACGCCCGGTAGAAAGCAATTATTTGGCTACTCACCGCAACCACCATGAAGACAATCAGGCCGAATGTGAATGAGATCATCGTGGCTGTTCCATGGAGGCAGCAGAATATGCCGAAGAGATTTATCAGCAGCAGTCCAATGAATTCCGCGAGCAGGGATTTCAGGAGATTCGATCCATTTGACGAGAACTCATTGATCCCCAATTTGTACTTGAACACACCTGGCATCGTTGCGATGATTTAGAGAAGCTCGCGTGCAATAGATAAATCAATCTGCAAAGAGGGAATTTCACAGAGTTACTCACCGCACATTTCGAAGTTGTGAGGAGAGGAGAGAAAAAAAAAGAACCTTCTCTCCAAACCATATTCAGATGCAAAATGTATAAGTAATTCAATGATTCTGTGAGCGATTCAGAAGCTCAAATCGAGGAGATTTCTCAGCATTATACCCACTCAGTGCGAGACATCTCCTTTTACAGCCACAGCGCGCGGATTCATCCCAAATGGACAGAGTGTCATCAGAGTGGAATAAAGTATTCATTACATTTTAAACCCCACCAGGAGTCGTTCAATTATTTCACAGATGATCCGGGGCGCTCTTATTTTTAGCCATAAACGAGAGTTGGACAAAATGCCATCGAATTTCTACTGAACTTTCACCTCTCCATCGGATGCTGAGGGTGGAAAATGTCACGAGGAAGTGAACATTCCATGAATGATTGAGTGTGGAAGCGCTCGCCCCCCAAAAGAGCCCCGTAATTAAATTAAGCCGGTTCATTAATGTGTGCGCGAAGGTGAGGAAAATCTTCAGTGTCACACTCGGCGTCACCTAGGCAAAAATAGTGAAATATCAGCTGGGCTGGAAGAGCAAGTGCGTCGGCGAGCGCACGTAAATCTGCTGATGAATTGACACAAATCCAATTAACACCGGCGGACAAAGAATGGAGAGTTCAGTGAAAAATTAACACTCAATTAGTGTTCTATCAAAAACCCTAATGAATATTGCATAAGTCCAGCGATTTTTCACATCTCAATTATCTCAACATTTTAGTCTCAAATATCTGTGTCGCACCATTGTAAATCTTGTAAGACCAAATCCGATCGCAATATGATCTTCCACACAAATTGAGGCCAGTGTCAATGAAATGTCCCAGCAAACTGAGAAGATGTGCTCACAATTCAGCGTAGAAAATGTACTCTTAAGTGCTCAACTTTGAGCACAATAATTGCTTTAATTAATCGGTTCTTTTCGGCCACTTCTTTAATCATTTATTTTCAATTTCCTGCTAAGAATTGAGCTAAGAAATGCGATTTATTCAACATAATCCCATGAAACTGTATCGAAAATGTTTCTCTACTGAATTATATATTCTAATGCGGAACGCAATTTGTATTTCACGGTATTTCTGCTTCCGAATCGCTGAATCAATATCTGTGCTATTAATAGAATTCAGCTAATATTTTTGCATATTTACGCTCAATTTCTTAGCAATTGGTGATCAGTGAATATTCAACGCACAATTGAGGGCGGAAAATAGCGCCAAAAATCCCACTTGCGATGTCAAATCATCACTCAATTGACGCTGATTTTTGGGCGTCACGAGACGCACGGTGATTGTTCTAAATGGACTGTGCAGAAATCCGGGGCAGAAGATGACAATTGCCTCAGATGTGTTCTCGAGAGATTCCCAGCCCACGCCATCCCACAGTCTTCTGGGCACTTTGTCGTCAAATTAAGCCCAATCAACTCTCGCTTTCTGGCCCAGAGTTTTGTCATTAAGTGCCGCCGGAAATGAACACTTCACTCTGTCAGTCATCCGAAGAGTTGCCCGAAAATCCAAACATAGCTGCTGAGGGACGCACTTTTCATTACATATATGGAAAAACCCCTCGTGCAATATGCAAAGAGCCAACTGAACCGCACAAAAGCCGATGGCGAATTGGTCTCATAAATAAATTTCCTCTCGCGCTCTGCAAAATAGCTAAACAGACACAAATACACAAATGTACAAACAGGACCATTTTCACGATGAGGAGAGATCAAAAGCAATAGACTTTTACACCTGTCGCCCACTTTTGATGTCCACCAGTATTTGTCATTTCTGTGCAAATCAATTAACTTTGTTCTGTCTCCGCAAATGGCAGAAAAACCGGTGGTGCATTTTATCCTTCGGGCTGGCAAGCTGAAGCACACAATGTTTTAATTACTTCTCAACTGCAATCGAAAATGTATATATACGTAAGACATGACAGGTTGCAAAAAACTCTGTGCATACAGATTGTAATTTTAATTGCTTTTCCATCACTTTGAAGATGAGTTTTTGCATAAAATACACTTTGCAAAAAAAAGGTGAACATTTGAATTGAGTTTCTCGATATTTTATCATTTTTCTCTCTCTCGTGCGGGAGAAGAAAAACACCATCAATTAGAGGGTGATTCATTGCGGTGTTCTGTATCCGCATTAAACATTAACATTGGCCAGGCAAAGGCCAGAGTTGTTCGCCCCCTGAAGCAATCTGATGTGTGTTTATGTTGTGAAACAAATCCGGTGGTTTTTATAGTTTTCATTGCAACCTTTTCCAGAGAAGAACTGTTGATGGCCCGGGAATGAAGTCTCGCGCACTCCAGGGGGAAAAAATGTTTTAATGCTTTCTTCTTCAGTGATTTTCACTATATGGCTTCAAAATATATATAAAAAAAAGCCCCGCATTTATGCATTTTCAAAGCACTGTGCGCGAGATCCAGTGCACATCTCTCATGAGGAATTTAGATTAGAGTGCATAACAAGTCCAACTTCTCGGTTTGTTTGCAAATTTTTCTGCACTCTCATGCGACGTGATTTTTTCGCGAAATGCAATTAAACAATTACATCTTGGTGGTGGATGAGAATAGTCATCTGGGAATGTTAATGATTTTCTGTGCTGGCAGAGACAAAAAGGCCTTATTACATTTCCATCACACAAATTAGGTATAAATAATTGTTACGTTTGACACACTCTGCTGTGTGTTCAGCTGCAAGAGATATCTGTTATGGAAGCAAAGAAGAAGAAAAAAAAAGAATCTTACGGAGAGTCACGAGATAATTCTACACCGTTGGAGCCTATAATAAGTTCTGGAATGAATTTTTCTCTGCCATATGGAATTAGATGGGCTTTGCGCTGTGAGATGGACAATTCACAGAGGCATGACCATTGAGGCGGGTATAATTTGCAGTATTATCTCGCCTTATCGTCCAGGATTATGGCCACTGTGAATCTTCAGTTGCGAAACTTTATGATATAAATCTTGAGAAATTGCTCGCAGAGTACTTCGGTGAGATTGACACATGTTTGCCCAAGACAGACTGCAATTGAGCTCCTGTCGTTTGAGCATTGCGTAAAATTGATAATCAAATATGTAATGAGTGCTTAGCAAACAATTGATAATTGCACCAGATCATCTTGCACAAATCTCTGTCACCCTTGCCAAGAGCCTGCATTGGACGGATGAGCAAATATTGTCTGCACTGCACAGAATCAAAGGGCATGTCGAGGACCTCAAAAGGACTCTAATAGGCCACCCAAAACACATTTCACTAACCTTTCTTCTGTCCGAAAATTGCGTGTATCGCGCGACTTGAAATTGATCGTGGAGCGGATCGTCTTGAGTTCGCACACTTCTCAGACACCAATTGCACGTCTTCTGGAAGCCACAGACGAGGAAGCCTCTCTCGTGGTGGGCAGAAAGAAATGAAAATCTAAACCACTTGTTACACTCCAATGCTCGCGACGGACAAATATCTTGAGCCGCTCGCCTCTCTCATTATATACCGCACTGTTCCCCACTCTCAATTCATTCAATATCGTCATGTTTTATATCTCAGTTCTATTTGCTCAACACAAGCAGAACCTCAACGATATATTGTGGCCCACAGACTCGCGCACCGAATTTTTCTCTGCCAAATAAAAGGAAAACACACCATACAATTCGAGTAGAATAAGAACAAGAAAAACCTCCGACAATGCCTCTTTTTCTCCATTTGCGCGCAATGATATTAAAAAGGCAAAATTTGTGTAATTTTTTTCTCCACTCCATGTCGCAATACCTTTATATTTAGATGAGATACAATGACTGCCGAGTTCCAGAAACTCTGTTTGTCGTTTTTGGGAGATAAAAACCGCGTGTGAGGAAATTACATGACACACACGCGGCGAGCTGCTTTTGGCGCGAAAATGTGTGAGTGATCAGCAAGAAAATGTTTTGTCTCAGATGTCTCTGGGGAGATAAAAGCTCTCACCTCATCAAGAAAGGTGGAGAAGCTTCAAGAAAGCTTCAAACTCTGATGCTTTATGTCCAATAAATAAACGAGTCAAGTGATTTTATTGTTCTGATTTGTTCTCTCACTGAAAAACCTCATACTTTATTGCCTCTGTTGGAACATTTATTACAAATACCTATAATACTATCATAATCTCTGCACTCACTGCATCCTCAATCTTCCAGGACGCAGGAAGACAGTATCCAATTTCCAGTGAGAAGCACGGCAGTCATAAATCGTGGCCCTGTTCATTTTCCCGTGATCTCGGCGGCGCCCTGAACAAGTGCACGTAGAGGAGGGAGGCTGCAATTGCCCCCAGGAGGGGCCCCGCCCAGTACACCCAGTGATTCTCCCAGGAGCCGGCGATGACGGCAGAGCCGAAGTACCGGCCGGGATTCATGCTGGCTCCGGTGAACTTGATGGCAGATAAATTTCCCAGCACCACCACTAATCCCACTGTGAGGGCTGCCGAAAACTTGGACTCTGCAACACATGACAAAATTTACACTGAGCGCCTAAATCTTCTGGGTCAAGTGGTGCTCTTGTCACCTGATTTATTCTCATCGCTGACTCCCAAGACGGTGAGCATGAGGAGGAAGGTGACGCTGCACTCGATGAAGACACCACGGAGGACGCTGATGCTGGGATCCAGGTACAAGTGGCAGAGCTCTCCGTGCTCTGACTCCGGCAGGAAGGCCTTCATGCACGCCGTTCCCGCCACAGCGCCCACACACTGCACGACAACGTAGAGCACCGCCCGGACCAGCGTCACCTGACCAGAAACCAGGAAGCCAACGGTCACGGCTGGATTGATGTGACTCCCACTCACGTGACCCAGCGCCTGGAGAAGACACAGAACGCCTGTAGACTTCTCATCGCACGTATTCAATGCCGCTCTTCCCTCACCGAAATGATCATGAACACCTCAAAGCCGAAAGCAATGGAGATCACAGCCGGATCTCCACACGTTGCCGCGATGCAGCCGAAGAGGTTGAGCATGAAAATGCCCAAAAACTCCGCCAAGAGAGCCCGCAGTAGCTTGGGCCTCTTGTGAGCGGAAATCTCCTCAAAACCCCACTTAACACTCGCCATTCGTAACCAGACTTAAACGACTTCTTTTCAGCGTCAATTTATCACTCAAATGGCAAATGAAAGCCGCACAAAAAACCAATTAATATACACAAAAATGTCCATATGTTTAAACATTTGATCGCGAACTTGTTCTCACGAATCGCACACTAAACAAATGCACAATGTGATATTTCTCTCTATGAGAGTCTCAGAAGATTTTCTTCTTTCATCTCCCGATGATTTTCATACGCACACGCAATTGGATGAGATAAGAAAAAATCCAAAACCAACAATCACGCTCTTCGCCACTTTAACTAATGCTGTTAAAATTCTTTTTCACCCAATTTTCAGCCCCCCACTCTCTTCACTGTTTCGGCCTTGCCGGCAAGCTCTGAAAAGCTTTCAGTTTTCGCCTCAATTTGCCGCGCATTTTTCCTCTCATCATCTACTATTTTCACGCTATTTTCCACCTGGACGAGGAGAATAATCAATTTGTCATTCTCATGCTGCTTTTTTACTTGAATAATGCAAATGGTTTTAATTGAATTTACTATGTGTAATTTTTTACAATGTAATTTCTCATCACATGAAGTTGAGATTCAAACCCAACTGGAACATCTTCGTCCGCCTTGGCTGCTTTACCGACTCGCGCCAAAGAAATATCACTATTATCGTGCTGATAAGACTCGTTAGAATAATTGCTAAAGTGTTTATTTTCCTGTGGGGAAATTTTCATTGAATGTTGACCAAAACGAATTCTCCGAATTCCTGTCGAATCCAATAAATTGAGTCAGCAGTCTGATTAAAATGGGAAGTTGCTTCTAGTGCTCTAAGTGATGCAATAATATTGAATTGACGGAGAGTTTATTTATGAAAACAAATTAAACAATTTCTTTAACTTCATTAATAAATGACTATTAGATACGATTCAAATTATTCATGATTTACTGAAGTTATCACGAATAATTTGATATAATTGAAATATGTTTTTGACATTAATTTTTATTTTGTTCAACATAATCGTGTTATCAGACACAAACAATAACCACATTTTTGAATGCCAATTGAACTATCAAATCTACAGTTTTTAGCACAAATTGATCCACATAAATAGATTTTATTGCATTCGAACAGCAGAAATTGTAACAGATCGAGTGGCGTTTCATTGATTGTAACAAGATTAGTGGAAATTCCATGGCAGATAATGGAAAAATTTAGCTGTTCAATATTTTATTAACCAATATTCTTCAGTAATACAAAACCACTATGAAATTCAATCCATTTTTCGTCCTGATTTCTTTGAATTCATAATAAGTCCCAAATTTCAGTTGTGTTCAGAGCAAATTGATTGTCCTCAGCCAGATGAGAATTCCAATGGCCAACATTGTGATACTTTTGCGAGAAATGTGAGTAAAGAAAGTTGCTCCCATTCGGTGAATATATTCCATTCTCCGCAATCAATCATCCCGAGTGGATCCAATAAAACTGGGATTGCGCCATGCCACAGGTGGACGACCGCCGGGAATCCGTCTCAATCTCCCATCTCGAGAGGGTCAGATTGAAGAGTCGCGTGGGAGATGCTTTTACGAGCAAAAGTCAAAGACCTTCTATTTAAAATTGTCTCTGCAATGGAACAGAAATATATATACTTTTATCTAGCAAAGCAAAGAGAGGTCATTTTGGTGGAAGCTTGTTTGAAATTCCAATTTGCAGACATTCCCAAATGTTCGTCTGCTGCAGAGGTCGAAGTGGTTTTGTCGTTTTATGTGATTAACATTGCTTGTAAATGTAATGACACAACATTTGCAACCAAAAAAAAATCCCCCATTTGCGGAAATAGACGTGTTAAATACAATAGAATATCGCGGAGGTCCGAATCATAGTTATTTAGAATAAATAAATAAAAACAACAGACTTGCAGTCAAACGTGGAAAACCTATGCGCGAATTTTTAACCAACAAGATCATTGATCCGAGGAGATTATGAGTGTTTTATGCAAATCGCCAATTAATTCAGCACAGTGCGAAGAATTGTATCTCTGACGGTGTGACTCAATGGCAATTCCAGTCTATATTTTCAAGATCTCCAGCATTGGACTTTTTCACAGCACTTGTGTCTGTTTGTGCCTGTTTGGCAGTGTGCGTTTGTGAACCGTCGTGAGCGTAGATCTTGGCTGGGGTTCGAAAATCAGTTGCTGATCGTCTGCCTTGATGATCACACCGGAACTTTTAAGCTCGGACTTGTAATAAGTGTGAATTGTGTAGTTTTTCACAATGAAGATCATTCTCTTGACGGCCGGTAAGGTTTTTTGCTCATTTTTACGGCATTTCCATGTGTCTTTCCGGGGTTTTCTTGCAAGTATTAATAATAATCTTAAATGCGCCTTTTTTCACTGTGGGGATTTTTGATAATCTCTCGAACCCTGACTGACCTTAAAAGGTCTTCTTGGCACTGGGATGTCTTTATGCGTTTTTCGGGGAGTGAATTGCAAATGGTAGAATTCTTTGGTAATTTCCTTTGGACACTTCACATCAACAATGTAATCAAACAGGTTTGGTCTTCTCTAAAATTTACCATGAAACTTGTATCTGTGAAGAAATACCCAAGGTCAATGCGAAATGCTTTATATATTCTCTGAATGTGTGTGAAATAGGAGCTAAAGAGAATCGTGACGACATTGCCAAGTGATTGTGGATGACTGGAAAATTGATTTTCCCCCCGTGAAATTGCCGATTATCACATGTTTGATGTGTTGCAGCTCTTCTCATGGCGGAGGCAATTTGGGCGGCTGGGAGTGAGACAACGCCGCCTGTGGAGATCGTGACGCCACAGACAATGCGAAGTCAGGTCACGCCAAGAACTCCAGACGCCAGAACGAGAAACCAGAGCTCACCTGCCTCTGGGCCCAGTGATTCGATGGATTATTGGGAAAATGACGACTTCGTGCCATTCGAAGGTGCCTACAAAGATATCGGTGACTTCGACTGGAACCTCTCGAAAGTAAGCCACTCTCTGGGATTTCCCCCTTTACCTGGTCACAAGTGATGCAAATTCCTCGGCAACTTCTTCTCCACAAACGAGACTTTTATTAATAGATCTCGAGACTCGTCTTGAGACATCCAGACGTGCTGGAAATTTAATTACTTGAGTGAAATATCATGAATAGCCATTAAAACGTGCGGTCAATTGTCGGGGGGATTGCCTCTCTTCGTCGGCGTTGCATAAATATAGAAAAATATGTTGACACGCTGCTGTAAATGGTAGTTATTGTCGAGGAGTGACAAAAGCATCACGACTCTGAATATCAATCATTGTGAATAAGTGCGGAAAACCCGCAATTAGTTGACAATTGTCTGAAAGAAATGCGTTTTGGCTCTCTTTGCAGATCGTCTTTGAGGAAAACAAAGGCAATGCTATCTTGTCGCCGTTCTCCGTAAAGCTGCTAATGAGTTTGCTGTCCGAAGCCAGCGCGCCAGGTACCCTGACTCAGCACCAGCTCAGGATCGCCACGCCGACCATCGCCACCCACTACGACCTGCGGGAGTTCTACAAGACCATCTTTAACGGCCTCAGAGTGAGTTTCGGGACGTTTTTCAAAGCTCTTTCCAGTGTTGAAGTATTTAACTTGATCTTGATTTGCCAAGGGTTAACTTGCCGTTACAACTCAATTTTCCAAACATAATTTCCCTGCAAATTAACCCAATTAATCCAGAATCTTTTTGCACTCTTTAACATGTCATTCAACCAATCATTTCGGTACAACTTCCTGTCCAAATAGACCACTTTTTCCCATCTCACAAAAGCCACTGAACTGATTATTATTATTGCACTGAATCCCATTGTCTGTTGCGCGTGCAGAAAAAGAGCAGCGACTACACCGTGAAGTTCGGCACCAGAGTCTACGTGGATCAGTTCATCACTCCTCGCCAGAGATACGCTGCCATCCTGGAGAAGCACTACTACACTGAGCTGAAGCAGGAGGACTTCTCGAAGGCGCGCGAAACCGCCGAGAAGATCAACAGTTGGGTGTCCAATGTGACGGACGATCATATCAAGGATCTGGTGAAGGAGGACGACATCCAGCACTCTGTCATGCTTCTGCTCAACGCCGTGTACTTCCGGGGATTGTGGCGGAAGCCATTCAATCGGACCATCCAGCTTCCCTTCCACTTGTCGCTGAACGAGTCCAAGACCACTGACTTTGTCCTGGCCGACGGACTGTATTACTTCTACGAATCCAAGGAATTGGACGCCAAGATCCTCAGGATTCCCTACAAAGGTAAGCTTGGTTAATTTCCCACGATCCTCGGATGACTATCAATTGTTTCTTCCAGGCAAACAATACGCAATGACGGTGATCCTGCCCAACTCCAAGAGCGGCATTGAGAACTTTGTCCGCCAGATTGACACTGTCCTTCTGCACAGGATCAAGTGGCTGATGGATGAGGTCGAGTGCAGAGTTATCCTGCCCAAGTTCCACTTTGATTTGACCACTCAACTCAAGGAACCACTGATGAAGGTGAGTAAAAAGCCCCCAGAAATCCTCCTTTGCGCAATCTTATCACCACAAATTGTCTCTTCAGATGGGCATCGGACAAATCTTCACGTCGGATGCCTCCCTGCCCTCGCTGGCCAGAGGACAAGGTCTCCAGAATCGCCTGCAAGTGTCCAATGTGATCCAGAAGGCGGGCATAATTGTGGACGAGAAGGGCAGCACTGCATTTGCCGCCACCGAAGTGAGCCTAGTCAATAAGTTTGGCGATGATGACTTTGTCATCTTCAACGCCAATCATCCCTTCCTGTTTGCCATCGAGGACGAGACTACCGGAGCCATTCTCTTCACTGGAAAAGTGATGGATCCCACTTTGTAAGCTCCGCAAGTGCATTTCACACACACACCCACACACACAGTTTTTCTTCGCGTCCACCACTGAAGAGTGCTCCTCAACTATCAATTGTGATTCTCGGCCACACACAACAGCTGTACTTTCTTTTTATACAATAAATAAGGACATTATGTGAGATTTGTCGTCCTGGGAATTCGTAAGAGGCGCGCAGAAGAATCATCGATTAGGGCGCGCGCGCTTTTTTGGGCCACTTTCGATGAGTTTTGTCGCAGAGCCGGCGGAGTCGATGAGCGCTGACAAGCGGGTGTCGAACAAAGCTGACAGCTGTAGTGTAAAAAAATTTTTGTTGGTCGCGAGACGGGCATTTTTAGTAGGAAAATCCGCCGGAAATTGTCTCATACTAGCATTAGTCCGCTGATTATGTTACCATTTAGTAGATATTAGACATAAGTTGTGTACTTAGCATGTGATTGTGTCGCGATAGTGATGAAAAAGTGTATCGGCATAATCGACCAAGCCCACTTCAGTGGCGTTTGCCTTTTTCTACTTTTCCTCCCCTTCCTCCCCTTTTCTTGCACACTTCCGGCTGGCCAGGAGGCAGGTGAGTGTCTCTGCGTGGGATTCGGTGGGGATGTGTTGGTATTTGGGGGTGAATTTGGGGTGTTTTGTGGTAGTGAAAAGTGTGGTTATGCGATGCTGGAGCCCGGATGTCAGTCATTGTGTGGCTTCTTCCTGAGCATCTTTCTCTCCATTTCTCTCTTCCAGCCGAAATCCCCGTGGCTGTGGACACAAACACCACCTTCTCGTGTTCGACGCGCACCGAGAGCATCTTGTGGACGAGAAACGGGAAGAACATCACAGTAAAGAGCGACAAGAGGTGAGTCACAAGAGTCTTCCGGACGCGGATGTCACTCAAAGGCTCTGTTATTCCTCTTGCAGATTCTCCGATCGCGTAACTCAGGTCAACGATGACGACACCATCGTGGACGGGAAGATATACTCGCACGAGCTGGCCATCGCCAGGGTGAGTCTGAAGGATCTGGGCAACTACAGCTGCATCGACGTGGTGGATGGAATGGAGAAGCTGTTCTTCCTGCAGCCCATCATCTCGCCGAAGATCGTGAGTCAGAGCAGTGCGAGAATCCGCACGAACATGAGCAAGCACGTGACGCTGTTCTGTCTGGTGGAGGCTTTCCCACTCGAGGAGTACAAGAGCTCCATTGAGTGGCGCAAGGAGGACGTGGATGGCATGGATTTCGCCTCTGTCAAGGAGATCAATCTCAATCTCAGCAACAAGACGCGCATTAAGCAGATCAACGAGACACGAATGAATGTCACACTGGATCTGGAGAATGTGTCCAAGAGGCACAATGGCACGTACATTTGTCGCATTCTCATACCTCGCACGGGAGCGGAAATCACTGGAGAGTCGTCGATTTTCGTGCTGGATCGTCCGGAGGTGAGAATAGACTTCGTAAAGGCGGTGGGAGCGAATAAGATCTTCATGAATTGGACTGTGAACGATGGCAATGATCCCGTTCAGGCATTCTATGTGCAGTATCGCAAGGATGGCGATGAGACATTCACGTACTACAAGGATCGCATCAATGGCAAGAATCAGTCGTGTGTGTTGGAGAACTTTGAGGCATCCACGAAGTATCAGTTCAAGATTGTGGCGCAGAATAAGATCGCAATGGGACCGGCTTACACGCATCCGACGTGGGTGAAGACACTGGAGAAGGATCCAGTGTTCATTCCTTCGATTGAGGTGAAGGGCAACACACACTCCACAATCACCATCGGCTGGACACCGCCGCCGCCGGATCTGCTGGAGTACATCCAGTATTATGATTTGGTGGTGGTGAATGCGGAGAATGCGTCGGAAGTGAAGGAGGCAATTCATCTGCAGAATAGTCGCAATCTTCCCTACATGTTTGACGGTTTGCGCACGGCGGCAGAGTACAATTTCCGCGTGCGTGCGTGCAGTGAGCTCACGAAGGCGTGTGGGAATTGGTCGGAATCCGTGATGGGCACAACGATGGATGGCATTTCGTCAGAACCAGTGAATTTGCGCATCTCTTGCGTTCACTACAACATATCGCGACGGAATTTCGTGGAGGTGATTTGGGAGCCGCCGGTGAAGAAGAACGGAAAGATTATCTCCTATCACGTAGTTCTCAGTGGTGTGGCGACTTTTCGGCTGGATCATTCGGTGAGGAATGAGACTTGGGGACCCAAGACGAAGAGTATCGATGAGAAGTCTCCTTATCGTGCGATCTATGACGGTATTCCGCCCAATACGAACTACACCATTCAAGTGCAGGCGGTGACGCGGAGTAAGAAGCCAGGAGAGCCGGCTCTGCAGAGCTGTGTCATGCCGCCAACGGTGCCGGACGCCATTGGGAAGTTTTTGTGGGGGAAGGTGAAGACAGAGACGAATGATTGGGTGTTCAAGCTGAATTTGCCACGGATTTCGGAGCGCAACGGACCAATTTGTTGCTATAGAATTTACATGGTGCGCGTGTCAAAGGACGAAATTGTGCGCAATCTTCCGCCACCTGAGGATCTGGATGTGATGACATACCATGAAGTGCACGCAGTGAACAATTCCAAGGGTGGCGCCTACATTGCCGAAGTGATGACGGGTGAGAATTTCCATTCGGAGATCTTTCTGGGCGATGGGAAGCGCATGAATGGGAATGTGAGTGAAGAGCAGGAGACTGAAGCGTGTCGAAAGTGTCTTGAGGGTGCAATTTGGCGATCGCCAACAAGGCGACGCACAACAACAGCCACCACAACAACAACACCAAAGCCAATCCTGCCCGAGGACATTCCCACACTGCCATTCTTCGGTGTGACAGCGGAAGCTGAGGAGTTTTCGACGTTTCCGACGCCTGTGACGGCTGTCAATCGTCGGAGGCGCAGAAGACAACACTTTGATGACTTCAAGGATGCCATGCTGGAGGACAAGGTGACAACGGTGAATCCGCTGTCGAATGAAGCAATGCTGTTCAGTGTGTTCGACGGACAGTTGGATCTGAAGAGTGAATACACGGGATTTGTGGAGGTGATCGTGAAGAATCGCCAGGGAGACAAGGATCAGGTGTTGTCCTCGTACAGTGAATACTTCCAGATGATGCAAGCTGGTGCGCCGCCAAATCTGGATGAGAATGCAGACAATATGACGTACATTCTTGCGCTGGTTGTGCAAATTCTCCTGGCACTGATTGTCATCGTGCTGATTCTCCTCATGTCGCTGTGCATCATTCATCGGTACTACACGAAGAATGTGGCGCGTGGAGATGAGGCGATTAGCTTGAGGGAGTCCTTGAGGGCGCTGTGTGGCGGCAGGAGTCAGAGTAATCATCATCGTCACTTGATTGGCACACAATCGTCAAAGCCACCAGATATCCCACCGATAGTCAAGGCGGAAATGGTGCAAGCCTTCCTCAGTCGTCACAAGGATTCCGACTATGGCTTTCAGCATGAGTTTGAGATGTTGCCGGACAGATTTAGCGATAGGACGACAAAGAATTCCGATGCCAAGGAGAATTCGGGCAAAAATAGATATCCTGACATCAAAGCGTACGATCAGACGAGAGTGAAATTGTCCACAATCAACTCAATCATCGGCTCGGACTATATCAATGCCAACTTTGTGCTGGGCTACAAGGAGAGGAAGAAGTTCATTTGCGCTCAGGGTCCAATGGAGGGCACAGTGAATGACTTCTGGCGCATGATTTGGGAGCAACACTTGGAGATTATTGTGATGCTGACGAATCTTGAGGAGTACAATAAGACAAAGTGTGCCAAATATTGGCCGGAGAAGGTGAACGATGCCACGCAGTTTGGGGACATTTCTGTGACATTTGTGTCGGAGGAGCGCTTCTCGGACTATCTGGTGAGGGAGCTGAAGGTGGTGCGACGCAGCAGTGGCTTTGGGGAGGATGAGGAGGACAGGCGATACATCACGCAGTATCACTATCTCATGTGGAAGGACTTCATGGCGCCGGAACATCCGCAGGGCATTGTGAAGTTCATCAAGCAGATCAATGCTGTGTATTCACTGCAGCGTGGCCCGATTCTTGTGCACTGCAGCGCCGGGGTGGGACGCACGGGGACACTTGTGGCGCTGGATTCGCTCACGCAGCAGCTGGACGAGGAGGGTCACGTGGCGATCTTCAACACTGTGTGTGACATGCGCCATCAGAGGAACTTCCTGGTGCAATCGCTGAAGCAGTACATCTTCCTGTATCGCGCTCTGATGGAGATTGCTCAGTTTGGCAGCACACTGCTGCCGTGCAAGGGTCTGGGTGCCGCTGTGGAGACGCTGAAGACGCGGCAGGACAGCAAGGAGCAGTGTCAATTAGAGGTGGAGTTTGGGAAGATCAAGACGGCGGTGGATGGCAATAAGAAGGCAACATTCATTGCCAGTGGCGAGCAGAATCAGATGAAGAATCGCAGTGATAGTGTTTTGCCTTTTGACAAGAATCGCGTCATACTCACACCAATTCCTGGCCGTGAGAATTCCACATACATCAATGCCAGCTTCATTGAGGGCTATGACAATTCGGAGTCCTTTATCATTGCCCAGGATCCCATGGAGGCAACAATTGGGGACTTTTGGCGGATGGTGTCTGAGCAAAGTATTAACACAATCGTGATGCTCTCTGAGGTGAGTTGGAAAAGTTGTTTTTCTTGCAATTCCAAGACTCTCTTCTTGACTGGCGTTTTTTTTTCTTCCGCAGATTGGCGACGGCGCCAAGAAGTGTCCGCGATATTGGGCAGACGATGAGATTCAGTACGATCACATCACTGTGAAGTACATCCAGAGCGAGAGTTGTCCATACTACACGCGGCGTGAGTTCAACGTGACCAACGTGAAGATCGACGACACGATCCAAGTGACGCAGTTCCAGTACAACGGCTGGCCGACGGTGGACGGCGAGGTGCCGGAAGTGTGTCGCGGCATCATTGAGCTGGTGGATCAGGCGCTGAAGCATCACAACAGCCAGAAGGCGTACAATCAATCCAGCCCAGTCGCAGTGCACTGCAGGTGAGATCAGTTTGCGCGCACTTTAGGTCTTTTTCGTCTAATTAGAGTCAGATGGAATTGTCTATCAATCGATTTTGATCATTTCTTGGTCAAAAACAGTGTTTTAGAGACATTTAGAAGGCCAATATTCATCAAATGATGCGTTTTAATCTAATTTTTAATACTTAGACATCAAGTTGAGATGTCTAAGAGACTGAATTGCGTGCAATTTCCTTTTAAATTACAATTTTTTGTGATTAAATTCTCTCTATTTCGACGGGTGAATGGAAAACTATGAAAAGTCGATTTATCATAGTTTTCGTCTTATGTATTTTTGAAAAGCCTTTTATTTGTTCTTTCTGTACAAGAATTTTAAGATTTGTATCTTATGAGACAATAGAAAAAAATCTTATTTATCTAAAAAGCACAAATGGAAAAAAATTGTCATGTTTTGCGAATGAAAAGTCGAATTTTCATTGTTTACGCTGAAGAATTTTTCCCCAAGAAAAATATCTCAAAAATTGCAGTTAAATGCATAAAACGTATTTTTAGAAAATATTTGTAGATTTTCAGAATTATCCTAAAATGTTTTTTGGACTTTAAATGAATATTTCTCATATCTTTTTAAATTTTTTCACTTGAAAACATTAAGAAAAAGTTCAATTGAAGTATGAAAAGTTGATTTTTTGTATAAAATCGACTCAAAAACCATTAAAAATCGACTTTGAAAAGTAATATTTTCAGATTTTCTATTAATTTTGCCATATTTTAGTGAAAAATTCCAATAAATACCAATAAAACATTTACAAAATAAAAAATACAGAGCAATATTTTCACTTTAACGAACAATTTGAAGGCATTTTGAGTATTTTGAAGTAAATTTGGCAAATTTCGCAGCTGTTTTAATGCAAAATTTTGAATTCGCTTTGCTGAAAAATTACGATTTTGACTTTTTATAGTTTTCGAGGCACCCGTCGAAATAGAAACAAGCTTAACAGACCGAAAAGCTTCTTTCATCTTATTAATAAACATCAAAATGTTATTGTCAAGAACATATTATTATTGTGATTGAATCTATTTCTGAATGCTATTTCTTGACGCTTCAATTTGCAGTTTGGGATCCGATCGTAGTTCAATCTTCGTGGCCATGTGCTTCCTCGTGGAGCAATTGCGTGCGGAGAAGCGAGTGGACATTTGCACGACAGTGAGGAAATTGCGCTCGCAGCGCAACATGATGATCGACACTTATGTGAGTTGTGCTGAGAGTTATTTGTCTTTGGCTTTGAGACTGATTTGTGGATGTCTTTTGCAGGCGCAATACGAATTCCTGCACAGAGCGATCGTCAACTATGCCGATCTCCATCGATTATCGCTAGAATCTCCCTCCGACTGATCGCGAGACGTCTAAAATCGCCAGGAATACTTTTTAGCCAACACTTGAGCGCTGCATTGGGCATGTTTTTAAATCATTTCATGTGCCCCTTTTTAGCAAGAGAGGAAAAGAGGGTGATATTTTTGAAGAAATACGTTATTATTTTTATGAGTTGAGAGAGAAAGAGAGAGAGAAAGTGCGAGAGAGAGACCAAAAAATCCTCAAATATTTAATCTTTGACTTCTGAGAATATGTGAAGAGTTTTATTAAGCAAAGGCATAAATTGTGAATCGCTCTTGCAAATTCAGTCACGCATCACGGAAGGAAGGAAGGAAGGAAGGAAGGAAATCATGTTTGGCCATATGTTTTATATTAATTACTACATATATTATATTATATTATGATTAGCGAAAGGAGAGAGACAAAAGTAATTGATAAGTACCTATAAAGTTTTGCTTTAGAGAGAACAAAAACCAATCTTGTAGTGGAATTCGCAATGGAAGAAACATATTGATGATAACAATATTTGTTTTTTTATAAGGAAGGCAAAATCTAGAACACATTTTGTACATAATTTATTTGTATGTTTTTTAATCGTTCTCTGTAGTCTTTTTTTAACTGTCCGGAAAGGCGAGTTTGTGTGTTGCGATTAATTTTTTTCTTAGCAGAGAGGCTTTTTTTTAATTCCTATCCATCCTTCAATCGCACGCCGACTCGCCTTTTGCCATCATCAATTTTGCACACAAGCAACATTATAAATGTCTCATGTGTAATTTACTCAGAAGAAAAGTGAACTTTTTTGATATATAAAGATGAAGAAGTTTATAATATCCTCAAGACTCTCTTTTTGTAATTGAATGTTTTTTTTTAATTGTGTTTGTAGACGAATTGATAATGTCGCAAATTCTATCTAGTCGCTGATAAACATGATCTAACAAATGATGAAGAAGCCAAAATTGTCATAGAAGAAAGGAATAAAGGAAAAAATGAGGAAAAATCATCAATGATAAAATAAACGAAGAAAAGAAAGGAAAAATTTGAGAAGGAAAAAATTGTGTTCATAGCGAGAGAAATTGTAAAATTAGTTCTTTTTTTATAATATAAATATTAATAATTTCTTTTCTACAATTTTCATTTTAAATTCTCAATCGAATCTCAGGAGAATTTTGAGATTTCACATTTTATGAATGATTTTAAGTTTTTCTTTCTTTGTAAAGTAATTTTCGTGTTTTTTTTATATTTACCAATTAATTCTGAGATTGAGGATTGCATTGTGCAATACCCCAAGAGTAAAAAAAGGAGGAAAACAAGAGATGAAAGAGGAGGAAAATCTTTAGAAAATATTTGTCTTTTCTACCAGACACTTTTTTAACAAAAAAAAACCAAACTTTTTTGAAGAAGAAAAAAAAATTGTCTACCAAAATTGAGACTGTAAAATCGATTCATGGACATTTTTCACACACACAAAACAATTTATATACAGAAAAAACACATATTGAAAGCCAAAAGAACTTGGAAGAAAAAAAACTGGAATTCGGAGCTCATTGGAGAAGAAAGAAAAAGTCCACCAAATAAGAAATGCAAACATTTGAGATAATATTCCAGGAAAAAAAAGGATGCAAGAATTGTAAAATGACGAAGAATCCAAAATAATGCTGGTATTTTATAGGAAGAGAGAAGGAAGAAGAAGAAAAGAAAACAGTGGAGAAGATGAAAATATTGCTATATAAAACAATATTTAAAGAAGTATAAATCAAATAACCCTAAATATTATACATAAAGAAAAAATATTGAATATTTGTAGATTTAAAGTTTAAATTCTAAGAGTTCCAAAATGATGAATGAATTAGATGTGAATAATTACAATTTTTCCACAAGGAGAAAACTTTCTTCATTCTTCAGCAAACTTTTACGAGTGCGCGAGGAATAGAGATAAGAAATGAACTTCTTGGCATGAATAGAGAGAAAGAAAAAACCCTTCACAAAACCACAAATTGTCCGCCAAATCACAATTCTCTATGAATTCTTCCTCTTCTTTTGTATAAGCGCAATTCTAAATAAAAAAAATGACACACAAAAGTCCCTTAAATTGTGAGAACAAAACCATATTTTACCCTTTTAATAGACTTAAAAAAAACAACAACTGGAAGGACAAGAAAAACATAGCGATGAAGTAACATAAACACCTGTGTATTGCGTATTTTTTGTAATAATATAATTAATAGTAATTATAAAATAAATGTTTTACAGATGCCTAAAGAGCGTCGCTTTCGCTCACTTCTCGGGCGTCGGCTCCTCCACGGCGATCACGTGCTCCTCGGCGTACGGATCCTCGTCGTCGGACGCCGAGTCGATGCCCAGGAGCTCGTCGAACAGGCTGGCGAACTCCTGCGCGTACGCCAGGCGCTCGTTGCGTGACCAGGACGCCGTGGTGGAGCGGAATTGCATGACTTCGCTGAGCAGACGCTCGTAATTTGCCAATTCGGCGGTGATTTCTGCGTCGTTCATGTCCGTATTTGTCGGATTCGCGGGCGAGGGTACTTCCTGGTCCTCCTCATCGTCGTCCTGGGGATCCATTGTCGCGTATCCGTGGCTGCGATGGTAAACTGCAAGGATTTGGGGAAGCTTGAAGAGGGAATTTTGCAGTATTTGCAGATTATCTCACCATTGCTGACTTCAGCGCTGCTCCAGAGGAAACTCCTCAGCGCCTGCTGCAACTCCTCGTATCCTGTGGGATTGTGTGGATCGTCCTCCTCCTCATCTTCATCACTCCTGGCCAGCTCAATCACGTCCAGCACTTTGCTGCACTGCTTCGCCTCGCGATATGTTATTCCGTCTGCCTCGTCGTCGCTGAGCTGATCGCACAGCAGAATGCCCAACTCGATCTGGTGACTCTTCAGGAAGCTGGCGTACTTGGGAATGACCTTCAGGAAGTCTCGCTGGTGGGCAGAAAAAGGCTCATCAAAATTCACCGCAAAAGCAAACCGACAAATATTTACCTTCTTCGCGTCGAAGCAAATCAATACGCCTTCAACGCCGCCGAGCAAGTTCTGCGGCCACGCCTCGAGGGGCCCCTTCATGGGCACCAGCAGCAGATCGGTCTCGTAGTACTTGGTGACCAGGTGATGTCGATAGCCCAGGGGATTTGTCTCCTGATCCAGTGCCATGGTGTTTTCCTCCGCCGGAAGCTTCCGGATATCTGAGGAAACAGTGTTTTAGCATGGATGTTTCGCGTGGATTTCCTGCATCCTCACTATTGATCACTTCCTCAGCGGATGGACCGCCCTCGTGCACCACCAGCACAACGGGAAAATTCATTTTTCAGCCGCGAAAAGGAATGTTTATTTTTCCTCTCCCCAAAACCCAAAGAAATGACAATACAAACAGTCTGAGGAGTTGCCAGATTGGAATCTGTGGCGTTTGATGTGCTGTCCGCGAGTGGCGCTGCGCGCCGGGGAAGAGACTTCCATCCGGCATCACTTGACAGCGTAGTCGTGACGTGGAGTGAATTGTGGCCAAAGGAATCCTCATTTTCTCACCAGCCATCGACGCAATTCCACATCTCTGTGCAGAAATCTCTCCAGCACACACCTGCTAATCCTGTAAGTATCACAATTCCTCTCTCACTCGCCTGCACAGCTGTTAAGAGTGCTTTCTCTTTGGTGAATAGAGTGCAATTATGGATCAGATCGCCAAGTTCTGTGAACCAGGAAGGCTCTTCGCCAAGGACTCCATCAGGCTGATCAAGCGCTGCACGAAGCCCGACAGGAGGGAGTTCCAGAAGATCGCCATCGCCACAGCCATCGGCTTCTGCATAATGGGCTTCATTGGCTTCTTCGTGAAGCTCATCCACATTCCCATCAATAACATCATCGTGGGCTCGTAAGTCCCCCCCCCAAAAAGCGCGCCTCCAGAACTCCCGGAAACCCTCTCAACACCAGAACACCTTCTATTTATCTCCCGGAATTTGGGAAAAAGTTGGTCCCACATAAATAAAAGACAAGAGATTTTTATTGAAGAAAAATTTTGTAATTGTTGACTCTGTTCTACACTGAAAAAGCATAAATCCATCCACTTTTCTATTAATCCAACCACTTTCGACATCTTTGGAAGTTCTCTCTATGGTCTTACAATTTTACAAGACAAGTCAAAAATGCAAAGATTTCGTCTGCCTTTTCCACACCACGGGAAAAGTTAATATCGAGGGATTCTCAATTTACAACTACATGTAGTTTAAATTACACGGTAATAAAATGAGGAAATAAAGTACACCTATAGTCGACTATATCTTTTTTTTTTACAGTAAAACATTCTGAGAGTTTTTCTGGTTTTTCTTTTCTTTCTCTACCCAAAAAATGCTTTTTTTTATACTCTCGAACATTTTGTTCTTCCTTTTTTTTTTCACTGAATATATTCTTCTCAAAATTGAATTTACTTATCATTTACTGTTATAATTACAATGTCATTTTTCATAAATAAATTTATCTTAAAACACTCATTTGTCATTTATAGGTTTTTTTTTATCCTTTTGTGTCCTTAATTACAGTTTGACAAGAAAGTTGACTAGAAACATTTTGTCCTCTTCTCCTTTGCAATCCGTCCGCGAATTTAGGTGTTTTTTTTGTGTGAATTAATTTAGAGATTTTTTTTTTTGGATAATTGCACTAAAAATTAAATTGATTTTTTTTTTAATGTCAAATCTTATCTCAATTTTACGATTTTTGTTTTAATTATTATTAATTTTCCTGTTTCCATTGTTTTATCGTATGTTAGAAAAAAGTGAAAATGTCTGAAAAAGTGTCTTGCACGAGAAAATAAAAAAAATATAGTTGAATAAATAAATAAAAAAAGTATCACAAACTAAAATATCCTCTAGTCAATCACATTGAGAAATAATAATAAAAATTGTATATAAATAAAATTGTTCTAAAACTAAATCATACATTTTGAAAATCACTTTTTCAGACACTTTTCAAAGTAATCGAAATGAAGAAAAAAAAATGTCAGTGAAGTTTTCTCAGGTACATCAAAAATCTAACACGGTGTCAATCAAAAATGCCTTCTTTAAATGTCGTCGCGTTTTCATAATGATAGCCGGAAAATGGGAGTTGGGAAAAGGAAGTGAGAAAGTTGAGATTCTGCGGCATCAAACCCTTGATTTACTCACACACACTTTTATGCCGAAAATTAATCTACTTGATCGTGAAGAGCTTCTCCTCACCGTCGTCACCCTTCACTTCCGTGATGGCGGCCATGGCCTTCGTCAGCACTGTGGCGTCCTTCAAGCTCAGAACTTGCAGCACTTGCGGCTCCGTGCCCGGCGCGCCCTGAATCTGCAGCATCTGATGCATGCCCGGACTCACGGTGATGGTTTCCATGCCCTCGCCATTCTCAACCTGAGCCAGACAGACAGAGAGAGAAAGAGAGTAGAATGTGAGGTTATGACATTCCCTACGCCGCCTATGACTATTTTCACCCTTTTCACCGATTCCACAATCAAAGGATCACACGTGCATCACTTTTAGACGCTGAAAATGCGCAATTTTTCTTATTCAATTGCCGTTTTAGCGCATTTTGTCCATATTTAATGTTATAAGACGTCGTCAATCACACAAATATTATATTTACTACTGTATTTTGATATTTTTTCTCACTTTTACGTCCTACATTTCAAGGAAAGGTTGAAAATTTTTGGAGAATGTCAAGAATTTATTTACAAAATTAAAACAAATTAAGATTTTACTCAGTTTCCTAATGAAAACACATTTTCTAACCTTTGTTTTATGGAATCAACGAGTAGTGTAAAATATTACTATTCTAGAGAGTAAAATACATACGATTTGTGACACGCGATCAGTGTCTACGTAAATAAAACAGCATGCTAAAGAGTCAACAGAAAAGGAAAATAAATCTCGAAAAAAACAAGAAAAAAACTAAAAGGACACAAGATGTTTTATTCTAAATATAACATCGATGAATTTTACACGTAAAAAATAAATTTCCTTTACTTTCTTTTCGCGCAAAGGCTTTTCTTCCTACTTTTTTCTTCTTCTTTCACAAGCGACAAACTAAAAATTACACTAGAAAAAAAAACATTGATAGGCAAATTTATGGCTTGCGTGGCATTTATGAATTCCATCAGTCCAGAGCTATTTAGTTACAAAAGAAAGAAAAAGAAAAACAAAAAAGATAATAAAAAAAACTAGGAAACAAAATTGACACACAGAACAGGAATTCTGAAATTAAGAGATCACTTGTCGCGCATTTTCTTTGATTTTTTTTTTCCAAAAAAAGGAACATTGAAACTATGACAAAAGTGCTCTTATTTCTCTTAAAAACTGAAAATGCCACAAAAAATTCGTCAGATTTCTTTCTCTATTGAGAGAAAACTACAATATTGTAATCAAATTGTTTCTTTCTCTCCCTACAAATCTTCCTTTAATCCTTTCATTAAGTAATGCAGGGAATTTTTTTCTCAATGCTCGTCCTCTTTTGACACAATAATTGCAAAAATAAATAAGTTTTGTCGTTGAATTTCTTCTTTTTTTTACTTTATGACTATTTAAAAGTAAAATATATATTTTGGCTCACACATTTTGCAAATCTGCTTTTGCATTTTTGCTTTCATTTCACACACTTTCAAACCTATTTGTGAAAAATAAAATAGATCAAATTACAAAATAATAGTAATAAAAAGTAAAATAAATCAGTTTTACAGCAAAATCATAAAAAAAAATTAATAGAGGTTCTCTGAAATCACAAAGATTTTGGCTTTCGAGTGATACATGCATGTTTTTCTTCCTTTTTCTCCCTCGCTTTTTCTCGTTCTATACAAAAAAAAATAAAATAAAATAAAACATTACTATAAATAAAATCCTAACTTGCTAATATTTGTTTCATATTAAAATCACCACAAAACTCTGCATAATAATTCTTTGCATGAATAGAAATATTTTTCGACTTTTTCTTTCTCTAATTGTTGTTTCATGTACAATTTTTGGTTTCCAACCAGACTTTTTGTGGTGAACGCAGTTTAAATCCTATAAATAAAGTTGCACAAAATAAATTAAAAGGGTAAAACTTGTACTTTCTATTGTTTCTCCGCTTCTATTTGGTACACAGAATAATATATTGACTCTTTCTTTCTCTCTTAGAAGCTTTTTTTTTCGCTTGCTCTTCTCAAGAAAATTGCACAAAAAATTAAATTTTTTCTATTCAAAACATAAGTTTCTTTATCAATCGTCATAATCGTCAATTAATTGGTTTTTCTTTTGGATCAATTTCACGTAAAGTAACACAATTAAAATACCATAATTATCATCTCTAAGAATTACGGGTAAAAAAATACTCGATAGTCAAATAAATTACTGGTAAAATCTAGCAATTCTTCTTCTTCTCCTTCACAAAAAGAAAACCGAAATCCTGCGCGCCTTCGCGTTGTGTTGCTTTTTTTTCCCCTTTCGCTCAAGCCAAAAACAAACACACAAAAAGAATTACAAATGAAATTACTAATAAAGATGTGAATTCTAAAGAATCTAGCATATAAATTGCACGCGCAATTTATCGCAAAGAAAAAAGAGCAAAAAGATCTACGGAACAAAGTGGGGCGCTTCAGGGCTCGAAGGCCACTTTGATGGCTTGCGACGGGGCGGAATGGGCGGCGGCGGTGGCGGCGGGTGGCGGCGGAACGGCGGCGGTTCGCATCTGTATAATGAGATTGCCCTCAGCATCAATGATGGCCTGTGTGTGACTAGAATCTGTATGCTCAATCGCCCGGCGGCACTCCTCCTTCACCGCAAACGCCGCCCCGCTGCCGCCGCCGCCACTGGCGCCGTCCAGGTGATTGTTGTTGTTGGCCGCGCCGCCCTCCGTCTCCTGCTTAATGTGATAGACGAGATTGGAGGGCGCCTTGGCGCCGCCCAGCGTGGCCTGGATCACCTTATTGCTACTCAAGTGCCGCAGGCTGCTGTGCAGCTGCGACGGCGGTACCTGAATGGGCGTGAGGCACACCGTGCCGTCGCCGTTCTGGTGCAAGTGCTGGATATTGGCCACCATCTGGTACATGGACGACACGGGCACGGTGATCATCCCACTCACGGACACCGGATAGCCCTGGCCGTCCTCGCCCGTGATGATCAGCTGGTTCTCCTGACCCAGGCCCGCCTCAGTCAGGTCCACTGTCATGTTCTCCGTCTGCCCGTTGCCCTCGATGCCTTGCACCGTGTGCACCGTGGTGCCCTCGCCCTGGGTCGTCAGCTGCAACGACAAGTCACGCGCCATTCAATTGACTGCGGACAAAACTACTCGCGATGGGAAAATCAAGGAATCCCATCAACAAGACACTGAAGCACACTTAACCCAGCACTTTCCCATTGAACTTCCCCGAAGAAAATGGCATTCAAATAGGATCAATTCCCACTCAAACTGGAGAATGTTAAACTTTAAACAGTCCTTGTTATTCTCTAAGTACTAAAATACTTAGTAAAACCGTGATAAACGCGGTTCAAATTATCTCTGGAGATCGTTTTAAAATATAACACATTCAGGTGGTACAAATTGGCTTAACACATGAGTAAACCCTTGAGTAAACCAGAACAGAAAATCTCTATTCAACACAAATGACGAATCTGTTGAAATCAAGGACCAAGAACTCTTTAAACTTCTATAACACATCTTTAACACTCTTCAGTTTTAGTGAAAATTTATCAAAAATGGATCCAAAATCTCGTTCAAAGGGAACTTAAAGATTTTGTCTCCTTATCTTATGATTTGATTGTGAATATAAGAAAAATCAGAACGATAAATTAGAGCTTATCGGCCAATTTCACAATTTATAACCAAGAATGTGAGCAAATTTCTGCAATTCCACAAATGTTATGAGATTTCTGTGCGGAAAACAGCTCAAAATTGCAGTCTTTTGCAACCAAAAGTGACGAATTATCCACAAATAGTGGATAAATTGCTCTTTACAAGCCACAGATTTTTTGCCAGCGTGCGAAAAACTCACCGCCACTCCTTGGACTTGTGCAGTAGTTCCGTCTGGAAGTGTGATTATTGAGTTGTTGGGATCCACGTGGATTATCGACAAGGACCCATCGGCGTTTGTGATGGTTTGCAGCATGTTCTGTGTGTACTGCTTGAGGAGACAGAGAAGAGAGAGAGTCATTAGTAATGCCCCATTCTTGTCCACAACTGGCCACCGTTGAAAGTTATTCGCTAATCTTTCAATGGTAGCAAATCTGTTTCACAAAGCGGGTAAAAAACCAAATAAAAGAAATCAATGCAAAACATGTTAAACGGCAACAGAAAAAGGAGTCAAAAAACTGTGGGGGAGGAAACTGAAAAATGTCAGGGTGTGGAGCAAAATGCACAACATCGATAGATAAGTGAGTGATTAGTACGAACATCCACATCTGTTAGTGCCAACGGGTCTAGGCAAACCTGTGCGTTTGCTATTGTCTGTGTCGGCGATTGGATCTGAATCTTTGTGGTTTGCTGATTGCTCGCCGACGTCACAGTGCCCCCATTGTGAAATTTCAACACCCCCACCTGCAATGCCAAGCGCCCGGCCGTGGTTAGCAAGACACAGAGAGATAGAGAGAGAGAGAAGAAAGGGTCAGGAGGTGTGAGTGAGGAAAAGCTCTTATCCCAAAAGCCTCTTCACACAGCCTCGCCGGACAGCCGAAACTTACATTGGACGCCGTCGTCGTTGTGGCATTGGACGTGGCCAGGATGTTGGCCTTCTCGTCCTCCTCGGAGAACGCCGGCAGGAGATCCTCTCGCCCGTGATACTTGTAGCAGTTGATGACGATCTTGCGCAGCGCATGAGTCCAGCTGATCTTCTGCTTCTCCTCCTCCGTGCGCGCATCCATTCGCACATTCGCCCACGGCAGCTCCAGCGGCCACCACTGCGGTCGCGTGGACTCCCTGCCCCAGCCCGGCTTGCCGCGTCCCGTCGAGTACTTGAGCATGAGCGGAATGAACGCCCTGAGCTGGGCCTGGGTCATCTTCTCCACGGGCGTCGGGATGCCGTCGATGATCAGCGGCGGCAGCTCGAACAGCGACGGGTCCTCCTGCGGCGGTGGCGGCGCCTGCTGCGCCAGAGCCGTCTCCAGCTCCTCCATGACAATACTTTTGAGGTTCTTCACCACGTCCTCCAGCGGTTTGGCGCCGAAAACCTGAGCGAGAAGTTGAAGTTGAATAACTGAAGAAACGCGCGCGCGTGCGGAATTTGCAAGCAAATGGTCCGCGAACCTACTTTGTAACTGGTATTTGGTTTCCCTGGAGTGGCCACGAGTACAATAGCCTGCTGACCGACTCTCGTGGCGAATTCGAAGATGGTTTGCTGCAGAAGCACAGAGAAAGAGAGGCATTAATTGGTGTCTTCCGGCGGACAAATCACGCTCTTCACTCTTACCCTCAGTTTGCGCAGGAGACGATTCTGCTGGCGCTTCCGGATTGAGGGATTTGTCTCGAAGGAGTGCGGCCGCTTCTTCTTCTTCGCCGACGCGATGGCCGCCGCGGCCGCCACGCCGACAGGGCCGGCGGCCGCCAGTTGGGCCGTCACGTCGTCACCCATGGCGATGTTCATGAGGTCCTTGCCGTCATCGTAGGCGCTCTCCGGGCTGCTGGGGCTGCCGTCATCGTCATCCGAGGCTCCCGTGATGGCCGCGTCTTCGATCATCTCGATCGCCTCGTCCGATGTGTCCATGTCCTCCGTGGTTGAAAGATTTACGGTTGTCTCAGGTAGTCACAAAAGGTCCTCTCGCGTGATCGCGACTCTGATCTGCAATGGATTTCCGGACACACGAGCGCGTGAGCAAGGTTTGTTTTGATATATCCAAGTCGGCTGCGCGCGATGTAAATTACTCGCGTAGTAAATAGTCAATGAACAGATGGCAGTGCTGTCGCAATGGTGGACAATATCGCGCCCTCTCGCTCACTCGCGTGAGTTAGAGTGGAGACGAAGGCCTCGTTTATGGAGTGTTTCGGCGCAGAAATAGACTCCAAATGCACGATAAACAGCTGAAATGGGCCTCGAGTGAGTAATTCTGGGGACTCTTCAGCCCGCGCGTGGTGTTTTCTAAGAAAATCTCCGGCGATTTCTGCCAAATTTGTGGCCCCTCTTGCCACAGTCCATCTCGCTCACTCTCCCAATTGGAATTGAAGGAAGGCGAGAAAAAATCAATAAAATCACCCCTTGTTGTCAAAATGGAAATTTTTTTATCGATTTACTGGAGGGTGAACAAAAGCCACGCACTTCCCATGAAAACACCAGCCGTTGTGCGGCAATTTGGGCTCTTAGAGCCGGGAAAGGAAGCATTATTGTGAGGGAAAAATCACTGGGAAAATGCCTCGTGAAGAAGCACAAAAATAGGCAGAATGCGATGATTTCCCAGCTAAGCAACACCAACTGACGCTTTTCCCCCTTTTCCGGGCCACAGCACGCCATATGGGGCGCTCCTGTGGGCACTCATGGGCGCCCCGGAGGTCCTCAAGAGGGGTCAAAGCACCGCGGAAAACGCACACGGTGGCGATTATGTAAACAAATCGCGAGCTGCGGTGTTTTCTCGGGCGCGCGATAAATGGCTTTTCCACCCAGAAAAAGACGGGGCGACCCGACGTCGGCCATAGATGGAGGTGAGAAAAGTCTGGCGTCGCATTTTTCCAACATCACTGCAAAAAGTGCATTTGTCTATGGAAAATTGTGTGGAAATTGGCGGTATTTTGACGACGCGCCACAACAAATTAAATGCTTTATTGCGGCGCATCCACAAAATTTCGCGTTTGCCCTTTCGGATTTTCCGATTTTTCCATTGCGCGAGCACAAGCCCAGTGTAAAATGTTAGGAATACGTCTGCGTACATCGCACCTGCGTGCTATTTACTATGTTAACGCAATTTCACACTAAACACACCATTGTAAACAAATTACCACATCACTTTTTGGCCACTATTTATTCCACAATTTCCCAAAATTTCACACTTTTTTGACTAGGATCGATAATGATGAAAATATATTCACCACTCGCCATTGCCTTCTCACCACCCACCTCGGAAGCCTCTTCACCACTCGGCGCGCTTTTCCCATAATCACCACCACGGAAAGCTTCTTTTCTGAGCTTTCACCTTTTATGTAGTGCACTTGAGGGGTTTCCCGCGTTGCTCAGTGTTGCTCAACTTGACAGTGTTACGATTGTAAACATAAACAACAACTCGTGTGTTCCGCTTTTCCCAGGATTTTTGTGGAAAATACAGTGAAAATCTTTCCGGAATCGATCAGATTTCCTCCAGGACACTACAATGCTTCGTCCCCGGACATACGATGATGAGGATATGCCAGGTGAGTCCCTGAAATCTCGTCTTTTCTCCTGCAAAGTCAACATTCCCCTTTCTAGGGGGCTCTGGGGAGCGTGGCCGCAAGCGCCGTCGCATGTCGGAGTCTCAGGAGGTGGAGGATCGCCTGGAGAGTCTCATCATTCGCGTGGGTGAGAAGAGCACCTCGTCGCTGGAGTCGAATCTCGAGGGTTTGGTGTCAGTGCTGGAGGCGGACTTGGGCGCGTTTCGAGCGCGAATTCTGCGCATTCTCTCGGACTGTGCCATCCGGATGCCCGAGAAGTGCACAATCTACACGACTCTGGTGGGTCTGCTGAATGCCAAGAACTACAATTTCGGCGGAGAGCTGGTGGATTTCATTGTGAAGACGTTCAAGACCAGCCTGAAGATGTGTCGCTGGGATGCGGCACGATATTCGCTGCGATTCCTGGCAGATCTGGTGAATTGCCACGTGATCTCGGCCACTTCGCTCCTCCAGCTGCTGGACAACATGGTGGACGTGTCGAATGAGGACACTGTGCCTCAGGTGCGCCGGGATTGGTACGTCTTTGCCGTGCTGTCGACGCTGCCGTGGGTGGGCAGGGATCTGTATGAGAAGAAGGAGAGCGCCCTGGAGAGTCTGCTGGTGAAGATTGAGGTGTTCCTGAACAAGAGAACGAAGAAGCACCACAATTGCTTGAGAGTGTGGTCTGTGGATGCTCCGCATCCGCAAGAGGAGTATCTGGATTGCCTGTGGGCGCAGATTCGCAAGCTGAGGCAGGACAATTGGGCAGAGAAGCACATCCCTCGCCCCTATCTGGCCTTCGATTCCATCCTCTGCGAAGCCTTGCAGCACAATTTGCCGCTGATCAATCCGCCGTCGCACCAGGAGAGCAATGTGTATCCGATGCCGTGGGTCGTTTACCGGATGTTTGACTACACCGACTGTCCGGATGGGCCTCTCTTGCCGGGGGCGCACTCCATTGAGCGCTTCCTCATCGAGGAGCACCTCCATCACATCATCGAGACTTACCATGTGGAGAGGAAGGATTGCGCCGCGCATCTGCTCAACTTCCCGTACAAGGCCAAGATTCCGCTCGAGTACTGCATTGTGGAGGTGATCTTCGCCGAGCTCTTTCACATGCCCACGCCACGATATCTCGACATATGCTATGGCTCGATTCTCATTGAGCTGTGCAAGCTGCAGCCGGCCACAATGCCTCAAGTCTTGGCGCAGGCCACGGAGATCCTCTTCATGCGCATCGACTCCATGAACACGTCGTGCTTCGACAGATTCGTCAACTGGTTCTCATACCATCTCAGCAACTTCCAGTTCCGCTGGTCCTGGGACGACTGGGACAGCTGTCTGCTACTGGAGCCTGAGCATCCTAGGCCCAAGTTCATTCAGGAGGTGCTGCACAAGTGCCTGCGCCTCTCCTATCACCAGATGATCAGGGAAATGATGCCGGAAACCTACGCGCGTCTTCTTCCCGTGGCGCCGGAGCCGATCTACAAGTACTCCGCCGACGGCGCTGGTAAGTCTTCCCACATTATCTCGCTGATCTCTTGTCTCGATGGCGATTCAATGTAAATTTTATCGTCAATTTTTCCTTCCTTTATTTCATCTCAGAGGTTTTTTTTACTTCTCCATTTACAATTTCATGTTATAACAATAGTAAAAACAATCTTACGGGTCGACATAATTATAAATTATCGCGCTAAAAAATCTTTGGTTGACAGAGTGAGAGAGAGAAGGAGGAAGAATTAGAGGGAATTTGTGATTAATTCACTGGTCAAGACGCATGTACTTAGAACTATGGGAAGAGTGGGAAGATTCTCTGCTAGTCGCTAACTGTGGTGCTTTGCAGATCATTCTCTGTGGTGATTCGCTTCGCGTGATCCACTATTGATTTTGCCAGGGCGCTGAGGGTGTCATTCTGGGCGGCTGTCGTCGCCGTGGGCTCGTCAGCGTCGGCGGCGGCGAACAGGGCCACATTGGTGACATTCGTGGGAATTTCCTGCAACTCCGCGCGCACCATCTCGATCTGCTGCGTCGTGGTCTCGATGACGGGCTCCGGATGTGGGATTTCATTGAGCACCACTTCTGGCTCTGAGCTGTCCGTGACGATGACATTGGGCAGCGAGTGTGGGATCTTGTCGCCCAGTGCGAAGGAGATGGATGTGCTGAAGCTCTGGCGTGTCTGCACGGTGGGCTCTTCGAAGTCCCTGACCGTGCTGGGCGTCACGGTGACCACCTTCTCTGTCTGGAACTTGGTCTCCGCCGAGGACAGCGACACGTCATCGAGGTCAGTGGGCCCGGTGAGGGAGGGTGGCGGTGGTGGGGTGGTTGTGGTGCTGCTGGTGCTCGTGCTGGTGCTGGAAGATGTGCTGCGCACGGGATAGACCCTTCGATGGGCACTCCTGGGCGTGGTGTTCTGCGTGGTAACACTGTTGATTGCCGTTGTGGTGGAGGTGAAGAGTGGCCGAGGGCGTCTCTGCTTGGGCATCCACTTGAGGACGGGCTTTTCAGTGGTTCTGGGCAGATACAGACGCGATCGCGTGCTGCCGCGCGGCTTCACCGTGACCATGGGTGTCGTTGAGGTGGTGACGGATGACGATGTGGTCTGAGGGAGGGTTTGAGTGGGTCGATTGGTCGTGGCGGGGAATCTCTGTCGCTCCTCGTTGCTCCTCTTTGTCGGCGTGATGAGAACGGGTGTGGTGGTTGTGGAGGTTTTCTGCGGCTCAGGCGATGTCTCAATGTAGGTTATCTTGAAATCCCGACCATTCTCTGGCGCCGGAACCTGAGCACTGATATCGTCATCGCGGAAGATGTCTGGACGACTGGTGGACAGGATCTCGCTGATCTTGCGCTCGGGCAGGATCTCGTTCACTGTGTTGACGATCTCGGGCTGGTCAACTTCCTCGGCGACGATGGGCTGGAAGAGGGTGCGCGAGGTGCTTCTGTAGCTGTGCTCCTGGCTGGCGGTCGTGTGGGAGCTGTAGGACGACGGGGAGGTGATGGAGTGGTAGACGGGCGACAAGGAGGGTGAGATGGTGGAGGGAATGGGCGCTGAGGATGAGGTGAGAGTGTAGGCTGTTGAGGGTTGTCGGTGATGATGATGAGGATGTTGTCTCACGGGCAGCGATTGTCGGATTGTCGTGATCTCCACGGGCTTCTTGAATGGCATGAGAGTGGTGAAGTAGTCTTCGTGATACAGCGGATCAGGATCTGAGTATCTGACCTTTTCGTACTTGGAGCTGGAGCGGAATCTCTTGGAGTCGGGATGGATGGTGTTGGGCGTCGTGGAGGATCTCTTGGGGACGTAGGGAGCGGACGGGGAGGAGGGAGCGGATGGGGAGGAGGGAGCGGAGGGTGAGGAGTGCTCAACGACAGGCGCCACGGGTGGCAGAGGAGTTGCCGATGCCGTTGGCTGATTCTGGCGCAGCAATTGTGCGTTCTGGTTCGGCACGATCGCTGGCACGTAGCGGATTTGTCCGCCGGAGTAGTCCGTGGGCACGTAGGTGAAGCCCGGCGGCGTCACCAGCTGCACCTGGATGGGGATGGCGTAGGGAGCGTTGGGGAAGGTGGCGAAGGCGGCGGATGGGAAGGAGAGGGTGTCTTGCACAGCTGGTGCCGATCCGAAGTTCGAGACTTCGCTGTGGTATTTCGTGGTCAAAGGCATGTTTGTCTTCACATATTCACCGTGATCGCCTGTGATTGCGTAGTCCACGAGGCCGTGGTGCTTCGCGTACTTCATGTAGTCGATGAGATTGGTCTTTTCGGACGTGTAGGCGGGCTTGAAGATGGGCCTCTTGGTCCTCAGGCCGTCAGTGTAGACGTAGTTGTAGGGGAAGGTGACGAAGTTGGGCTTGATGGTCGTTGGCGAAATGTCTGGCTGCGATGGTGGCGGAGTTGGTGAGTATTGTGGCTTGTTCATCTGTGGTCTGATTGAGAGTTTGGGCAGTTCTGTTGCCGAGAAGTCCTTGTCGGGCAGCTTGACGAAGTCCGGCACGAAGGGCTTCTTGGGCGATGTGAAGATGAAGTTGGGCGACAAGGTGGACGGCTTCTTCAGGTAGACAGCCTTCATGGGCTTGTCCGGCGGACCGCTGACGATGTACTCGCCGGCGTTGAGCTCATAGCTGGGTCGGATGGTCTTGAAGCTGCCGTAGGGACTGTAGGGGATCTTGTAGGTGGTGAAGGAGGGGCGCTGGTGCACGGGCTGGCGGAAGAAGGGCATGAAGTCGAAGATTGTCCGAGAGATTGACGGGCTGCCGATGCGCTCGTAGCGCCTGATGGGCTGATCGGGGTTGTACGGGGCGCCGCCGAAGAGATGCGGGTACTCCTCATCGCGCAGAATATAGTTGCGTGCCGTGTAGTCATGATTGAGCGCTCTGGTGTCACGCACGGCATCATTGGTGCTCTCGCCAAGTGGCACGATGCTGAATCTCAACTCGTATCGGTGCTTTCTCTCGAAATCGCGATGCCTGATCCTGTGCACGGACCACAGGGCCGTGACGTTGGGTGGCATCTGGTGGAGGCACTCTGTGTCACTGCAGAACGGGCCGTCGATGGTCTGCACGAAGCGATACTGGCCAATGGGTGACTTCTCCAAGCGGCCACGGGCGACAAGGATAATGTCACCAAATCTTGGTAGATTTGTGGTATCATATCCCACAAGAGGTGCTCGCTTTAGGGCATCGTTCATTGCCTTCTCGTCGCTGGATTCACCGTCGGGTTGTCTCATTGTGTCGCTCTTTGGCGGCAATTTGTCTTTGTTCCCCCTTTGAATGGCATTGCTGGAACAAATAGGCGCAAGGTTAATGCTTTTGGATTTCTTCTATCATGTTTATCTTGTGGGCTAACATTTCAACAATTGCTCCTCCTGCGAAGAGAGATGGTTTCATTTCAAATCTCTTTCACCATTTTTTCTTCTTCTTTTGTGCTCTCTTCACGCACGTACAGCCACTTGACTTTTGCGCAATTCACATGAGAAAAGACGCAGAGACACAATTGTGCATTCTGAACTTGAGCTTCTCTGTGTGCGACTTTCTCGATTTGGGGATGAAAATTGGCCTATGAATTTTCTCCCTCGTTTCTGGCATTGATTGCAATCATCCGTTAATGAATGTGGGGATTTAACATGCGGAGTTTGCAATTATATCGAGAGGATGAGTGGAAAGTTTAATTGAATTTGCAGAATGGAATGAGAGAGAAATAATTGTGTAATTTAATTGCATTTTGCAAAATTCATCCTGACTGCCGCTCTTTTGCAGCACATTTGATCGGAATTTTAGTGTTTGCTGTGTTGAAATTCAACAAATTAATGATGGCAAAATTTATGTATATTCAATAATTGCACGTTTGTGATTTATGGTAATGAAAAAGACTTCAAGTGCTGCAATATGAATTCAATATTCACATCTTAATAGACAAGATGTTCAATTTTGTCGTTCAGGCATGAATTTCTTAATCATTTGAGAGAATTCTATTAAGGACATTTTCCTCAAGTGGAAATAACTTTACTTAAAGAGGAAATCTTACAGTCTTTGAGCTTTTTAGCCTTTTTAAAGGCAAAATCACAATTTTTAGCCTTAATATCGCTTTACAATTTGTTGAATCGTTTAATAAATTGTTAATATTGCTTAGTATTTTTTGTGTCATTTTTCACAGTTGATTTCATTCGTTATTAATTGAAATTTTGACTGAAATGTAAGTTGATTTTTAGAGACGAAGTCTTTAAAAATATTGATGAACTTACATTTGCTATTCATGATCTTAGAAGCACTCAAAAAGACGTTTTTTCGACGTCGTGAAAGGGTTAAAGTAATCCAATAAATACGGTTTGTCCTAATAAAAATTAATAACTTGAGTTCAGTCAATAATTATGGATTTACTGAATGTGATTTGTAAAGTTGAATAGGGTGAAAAAGTATGAGAACTCATTTGAAGCTTATTCTCAAGACACAAGAGAGCGATTCTTCCTCAGATTTTCAATGCGATTCAGAAGCAATCCGGTGAAAATCCTTTCTGTCTCTCGGTGGGAGAAAAGCCGAAGGAATTTGCCGGGAAGTGATGGACTTTGCAGCGACACTTACACTGTGTTTTGGGCCAATGCGAGGTAAGCTGTGAATTTGAGAGCTTCCTCCCACGGGGCGTGAGTGACAACGTTTTCTCCACTGATATCTTGAAGAGAAGATTCACTTGGATCGTAGTGTTGAACTTTGTAGGATGGGAGGTCGTCGGTTCGGTTGGGCGTGAGAAGAATGTCTCTGTCTATATTGGCACTGCATGTCTGAATGATGAGAGCCTAAGAAGTTGGTTTTTTTTATGGGGGTTAATCGCCTTATCCTCTCCTTTAAGGGGTTGACAAAGAGAGACTCACCACAAAAACAATGAGACACACTCGATGAGAAAATGATTCTGTATTGATCATTATTTGGAAAAATATTGTCTATTTAGCGTTAATGGAATAAAAAAAAAGACGCACTATTTATTGTTTCTTCACACAGCGTTGAACTCCAATTTCAGGGCTTGAAGAAAGCTTCGTTGCTGTTTTCTTGGGTGGTTTTTTACTCACACAATTCTATATAAATCTCTCAGATCACTTCTATGCTTTTTTTCGGCGGAAAAATTCTAACTTCACGGGGATGAGGAATGAATGATAAAAAAAGAGGAATTTTTACTGCACTTGTCACTGGTGTAATGAGCGAAACTTGAGAAGGATAGTGAAAGCAATCACAGGGAAATGCACTGAAATATTCATCCCATTCCAAGGGTGTGATAAATGGTGGTGGTTTTTTTGTTTGTTTGTTTTGAGATGTGATTAACTCTTTCACAACACAATGACGAACGGATTTTCTCCTTTGCGAACAGAGCAAAAGAAATATTCCACTCAAGTTCGCAATTCTTGCGATCTGTTTGCAGTAAAGTTTGGTGTGAAACTGAAAACTTTGGTGGTTTCTTCAGCATTTACGCCACATGTGAAGGCATCGCGGCAATTTTCTTGGCGGTTTAACTGTGTGGTTGTGTGTTTATGTTTGTGGCTTTATTTTGCTTGACTCGAAGAGAGGCTTTGGATGGTGAGAAGAGGAGGAGAGAATTGATGGAATGGTTGATATTTTCCTCCCACCATTGCAAAAAAAGCTCAGAAAATCCATCTTTCATCCCTCCACAATCTTCATATACACTATTTTTTTATCTCTCTTGCTACATATTTACCTCTTTTCTCCTTCTCTTTTCTTAAAAGTCAATTTTAAGAGAGAAGTTTGACTTGGTGTGCAATTTTTTGCGCCAAAAGCGATTCACGCGATAAATGCTGCACTTTGTGGATTTTCCAACATCTCTCTCGCTTCTTTTCTCCTCATAATCTGTGCTGATCTGTGGCGCACAAGTGAAATGGGTGAAGATGTGGTGAAGAAGAGTATATTATTTGATTCTTCAAACATCTCTATGAAGTAGCAAGAAAGACATTCGCAGCGCTTTTGTGGTGCAGAAAAACAAGAAGAAGATGTTTGAGGAAGAAAAAGAGAGTGAGACGATTTAACAGATCAGCGCATTTTTTGCATTCCAAAATGCAATTGATTAATTAATAGCGCGTCATGTCGTGAGATTTGGATGGAGAATTTCGTGATGAAGCATACAATAAATGCTGATGTTTATGCACAAAGATTGAGGGATATTTAAACTGATTCTTCAAATAGCTTTTCAATCGGTGTATTTCTTGAAATTCATTACTGAAAATGCAATTTATTCACTCGCGGAGTGAATAAATTGCAAAATGTGAGAAGGTCAAAAAAGCTGTCTAAAGCACATTTGTAATTACAAATGAATGTTTTGCAAGTTTCCGGATTTGAATTTCTTTTATAGAAAATGACTTCTCCTTCGCCACAGGAGGGAAAGTTTCTTTCAATTCTGAAAGTAAGATTTAAAAAAAAATGTGAGTTTGCGTCAAAATCCACAATTGAATGCAGTGTTAAATACATGTTTGTTTATATTTTGGGTGTAGTTAAAATTTTGCGGTCAATTTGAGATGTGATTTTAGTGAAAGATGAACTCATTTTGCTTATTTTGTCGATTTTTGCCATATTAATTTACTGGAATGATTATTGAGATTTCAACTGCTAATTAATGGTATAAAATTGAGCTTCTCTGGTCAGAAATGCTCCAACATTGGATAGTAAAAACTGCTTAAGATCTTCAATCACAAAGTCAACAAGGCGTAGAAGATATTTATCGGCGGAAAGAGAGGAAAAGAGAAGTGAAATTGATGGTAAAATGAGAAAATAATTGGCAAAATGCAGTGATATTTATTTTCTGTGACCTTTTTCTGATCTTTCTTTGTGCCCAGAAGATTATTAATCTTGATTCCCATTTATTAATTGCACGTAAAGGTCATTTTGGCACATTTCATAGGAAACAAAGCGCAATTTTCTTCTTGTCTCAAATTGTTATGCCATCTTTTTCTGCGTCTGGGAACTTCCGGGATTTGGGTGGTTATAAGACGAGAAAGACACGCATTTTGAGTGGCTCGCAAACAAAAGAGCATTAAGTGAAATGGAGAGTGATGTAGAAAAATGCCCGCAGAGGATATTTGAATAATTTATGCAATTCTTTTCTTCTATGCAATGCAATATTAATGCGTTAATTCCGAATGTGTGTTGGAAAGTTTGTAAGAGAGAAAAATGATATTCTGATCTTCCCTATTTATGTACAAAAATCGATAAAGTGTGAAGCATCTTGATGTATTTTTTTTTCGTATCCTGATATTTTCTGCTTCTATTGCGCTGTGTATTTATGGGCGAAAATGAATATGGGGAAAGAAAAAAAAATGTGTGCAAACAATAATATAAAACAGAGTGCGAATATTGAAAATCATAACTTTCGAATTCCTTTATAGGTTGATGAAAGCATGGCGAAGAAAAATATTTCTCTTCTTTTTCTTTTACTGCTCGTTCATCGTCTTGAAGTGAAGTGAGATGAAAATCCCAATTGAGATTTTTTTTTTTATGAGATGAGATATGAAAGAATCGGAAAGTGAAACATTTTCCGTGTCTCACGTGTGAAATATGGTGGAAATTTGACAAGATATTTGGGCCAGAAATCGTGTGGTTTTTTTTATTTTTACAATTTTGCCACACAATAAATTGTGTAAATTTATATTTTATCGATTTCCTTTGTGTGCCAAAAAAAAAAACATTTGTGTGTCACTGTGTTTGGCATAATTGCAAGAAGAGGACATCCACTTAATGCGTGCACTGTGCCAGAAAGTGAAGCCACAAGAGCGTTGAAAAAATAAAATGTCCAGAAAGAGAGAAAAGAATGGAGAGAATAAAATATTACACAATTTATTCGTCTTGTGTGAATAATTCCGTCACTGAGAAATTTAATTAACTATTCAAATGACAGGCGGAGTGAAAAAATTTAATTATCTCATTTGGCTCACCAGCGAAGGCCCTTTGATTCATGGCGAATGGAGAAGAATTTTTCGTGGATAATCTCAGTTTGTGCGCTCTTGGCCACTCTTTCACGATTTGTCTGGGCCATTCGCTCGCGAGGGTCGCGCAATTGTGCCCTCAAATCACGAGGAATGAATGCATATATAAAGTGCAAATGAAAGTCCGATGATCATTTACTGTAACACAATTATTATTGTGTTAAATCACAAAAGCTATTTCTACTTTTCTCTCATATCGTCTTGGGCTTCTTGAGAAGTGAAAATTCACTGCACAAGAGCAGAAAAAAAAAATATCATGCAAAAATGCAAATTGGCTCAGCTTCGATGATTAACTTCTCGCTTTTTCTCAATGTTGTGCAGAGATATCAAATGCTGCGATGCAAAAAGTTCGTGCAAATTCAACCTCTGCAAACATTAAAAACACCCGATCAATGTTACAATTCATGGGCGAAGTGAGTTTGCAATGCGGTGTGTTTAATGGAGGATGGAAAATTGGGTTAAAAATGCAATGCGAAATGCGCTTCGAGACGATTTTCAGCCCTCTTTTCCCTCTCTCTTTGTCTCTCTCTCTCTCTGTCTCATCTTGCCGCATTGATTGGTAATTAATTTATTGCGCTATTGGCTAATATTGGATTTCTCACTTCCGATGCTCACGAAGCTCACGAACGACGAGTGAAATTGGCGTTTTAGATCAAATTGGTGGTTTTTGCGGAGCATTGAATGCAAAGTGGAGTGAAGAAAATAGTGATGCTCAATGTTGGGATTATCTCGAATGGGAAAGGAAATGATTTCATCCATCATTTGCCTCAATATGATCTGGAATAGCATTCAATTGCGATAAATTTCCCCCGAGAACTTTCCAATAAACCCAAAATCCCAGCAATGGCATAAAATTATTCATTTCTAAGTTGAATTTTAAACCTAAATAGACATTTCCAGACACGAAACATGCAAATAATTCAGAGCTTCAACTCTATTTACGAGAGAAAATCTCCTAAAGTGACTCTGATGTTGTTTGCATTGCTATTTGCAACATGGATCTGTTTATCATACTAAGCAATGAGAGAAGTTCAACTTGATCCACTTGCGATGGTGTAATTATTGTGAAATTATCCGCATTATATTCCGCAATTGTGTGTGGTATTTTCGCCTGAAGACAAACACACCGAATTTGCTCATGATTTATGCTCAAATGAAACATGTTGAGCAATGCTGTTTTCGGCTGTAAAATGCTGCTCCTCTTGTGCTTCCAGCCGCGCTGCCCGGCACCCAGACTGCCCATCAACTGGTCGTGGCTATTCGGCAGAAGTGCGCTCCGGAGGAGGTGATCGATGTGCTGAAGGACTTGCCGAATCCCAGTGAAAATGCGGGCGACAGTGGGGATTTCAACACGCTGAAGATTGACGTGTTCGTGCAGACGCTGCTGAATTTGGGCTCCAAGAGCTTCAGTCACAGCTTCGCCGCCATCTCGAAGTTCCATCAGGTGTTCAAGGCACTGGCGGAGACTGAGGAGGCGCAGATCTGTGTTCTGCACAATCTATTCGAGTTGTGGCGCAATCACGAGCAGATGATGTGTGTGCTGGTGGACAAGCTGCTGAAGCTGCAGATTGTCGACTGTTCGGCCGTGGCCACGTGGATATTCTCCAAGGAGATGACAGGGGAATTCACGAAGATGTATCTGTGGGAGATTCTCCACTTGACCATCAAGAAGATGAACAAGCATGTCATAAAGCTGGGTGAGTTTTGTATAATTATTGCGCGGCAATGCGCTGTTTTTGGGGTATGAATAAATGCAAATGTTGTCGCGCAGGCACTGAACTCACGGAGGCCAGAGACAGACTGACTGGAGAGGAATCATCGTCGAGTGAGTCTGAAGAGGAAAGTGCAGCGAAGAAGAAAAAAATTGAAATAGCGGACAAGCCGACAGAAGAGGTAAGATTTTTCTTCATTTCACTCTTTTTCCACCGCTATAAATACATATATATGTATTTCTCAACATTCTTTTGATTAATGGCATTTTGTACTACAAATGATGTAATAACGCGCCAAATTATTTGCACTTGCCAAAAGATGGTGGAGCGCATGGAGGAGAAACTCGAGGCGGCCAATGTGGAGCAGAAGAAGCTCTTCCTCATTGTCTTCCAGCGCTTCATTATGATTCTGTCTGAACACTTGGTGCGATGCGATACAGATGGCAGAGATTATGATACAGATTGGTATCGCTGGACAATTGGAAGGCTGCAGCAAGTCTTTCTGGTGGTTAGTTCTCAATAGATTTTATCTGTGCCTTTTTGAAGGATCCAAACAACAAAAGCCAATCTCTCTTTGCAGCATCACGAGCAGGTGCAGAAGTACAGCAGCACTCTGGAGTCACTTCTCTTCACGTCAGACTTGGATTCTCACATTTTGGACGTTTTTCAGCAATTCAATGCGCTCAGGGCGTAAATTGTACATGAATTTGAATGTATTTCAAGAGAGTTCTCAATAATTAATTTGGAAATATCACAAAAAATTCGATGTTTCTCTATTTTCTGAGGGGATTCCAAGGAGGACAAAAAGGCTTCTTGCTTCTTGCTGTGGAGAGAAACAACTTTGCAAGTTTGGTTTTTATTAATTCTTTATTAATATGGATGACCATGCTTACATACATTGCAGTGTATTAATCATTTCTTCATTAAGTTTTCTTTTTTTCATTCTTTATTAATACAATAATAATAATTATCATATAGTAGATTATATAATTTTTATAAGTAGGTTTTTGTCCTTTTTTTAAATATGAATTCAAGCACAAAAGGGACCAGATTTTTGTTTCATTTTTTTTTTGGTTTCACATTAAATGACTAGAGAAGCAAATATTCATGGTATCTTGTCGATTTTTTTCTTTGTTAATTTTTTTTTTTCATTTAATATTTAAGGAGAAAAAGCATTTATTCTCGCTTTGTGTGATTTGAATGTTTTGGTGAATGTGTGATGTGTGATTCTCTTTGGTATTGCTAATGCAACTCTTCTTTTTTTTTCCTCCTCAATTTCTCATTTCCGTCTCTTCCCGAAAAATGCGCATGATTTAATGTGTTTTCTGTGATTTTTCTTTTTCATATATTTTTCTTGCCTACTTAACAATGAGCTGTGTGATATTTAATGTTCCACGTTTTTTTTCTTCTTCTTCTTCTTAATCCATTAACTCTCATATCTTTTTCTCTGTTGTCTTTTTTTTTAAGGAAAAGAATACTAACGGGAAATGTAAGCTTTCTTGTCATTCTTATTTGCTGACGCGCTTTAAAAAGGCTTTTATTTGATGTTTCACTAATTTTTTTCTTTCTTTCTCCAGAAATCAGTGAATTTTTGCTAAAAGCAAATCAACAAAAAATGAGAACATTTGCATATCGCTCTTATATCCATCTTTTTGCTGTCTCTTCATCACTTTAATTAAATGCTACGGATTTTTATCTGTGTGTCTGAATTGGTTTTATTATTCATTTTTTGGGGGTGGAACTAAAACTACTCGGGGAAAACAGGCAAAATGTGTAATTCCTGCATAATTTCTTCCTTGTCTAACGTTGTGGCTCTTTTTTTAAACTTCTCTTCCTAGAAAATAAATTCCATATCAAAGGCATTTCTCATTTAGCACCAAACTTACTCTATGAATTCATTCTTTCGTATCCTAAAACAGTGAAATTAATCAACGGAAATTGAGATTATTCAATATAGCAGATATTAGAATAGAAGAGAATGAAGTTGTACGAAAATTATTGATACTATTATAGAAATAATTAAACACATTATTATGTTGTTGAGATTGAAGAGAGAAAACTCTACATTCGATTTTGTGCGTCTTTTGTGCGTGATTTTCCTGTACTTTCAACCTCTTCCTCACACATCTTTCTTGCTTTCTTTCTCTCTCTCTCTGTCTAGAGATTAAATAAATTTCCGAACATCCTCAAACTTCCCAAAATCCTTCTAAAGCTTCTCACTTCTCTCATCGCAAGATGACAGAGAGATGGAACGCATTAAAGACACTTTGGCAGTTTGAGGAGCTTCAAAAGTCCAAATGCTTTTTCTCTCTTCAAACCCATCAGGAAAGGTTTAACTCACGAATTAATATATGAGGATAATCTGTAGAGTGGAAAAGAGTTTGCCAAGGGAAATTGCAAAGATATAATTTACTCCATCAAGTATTATTTACCACGCGCTAGGCCCTTATTTCTACTGATATTTCTCCATTCATCATAAACCACACCATTATTCTGAAGGGGAGGGAAAAACAAAGGTAAAAGTGTCTATTTTACTCCCTCTTTTACTCTCTTTTGTGTAAAGTGTTATTGAGTATTTAAATTAGATATTTGAATATGAAAAAAAAAGTATTGAAAGTGATCAATCAACTAAATTCTACTCAAAAAAACAACTTCCTGCAATGATGCTGCACACTTCCTACAATATTTCTTTAAATATATTTTTCAATATTTCATTTTTATTTATTGGTTCCCCTCAATATTTCCTTCCATTTTTTCTTCCTTTAGTTTCTGTAATAAAAAAATTAATTATTTGTCACTTCCATTTTCTCTCAAATATGTCTCACATTCCAGCTTCGCGTTCATCGTCTCTAAGTATTTCTTATTCTTTTCCTTCTCATAACGTCTATCAGACTATTTCATGGGTATTTTTTTTTAATGCATTTCCTCTCATGCTTAGAGTGTAATTTATTTATTTTGTCGCCTAATGCCAAGGAATGCAAGTAATAGACAAAATTGATATTTTTTCCCCTTCGTCCGTTTGAATTGAAATATTTGCTTTGTTGTTTTCTATTTTTTTTTTATAAGTATATTTGTTGAATTTTATTTTTTTAGAAAAAGTCTATAAAATCGTGCTTCTATCAATTTTTTTTTAATGAATTTTCTCTCACTCAAAACTCTCTCAACATTGTTTTTTGCTCGCTCATGTCGTCACTTTTTAAAAGCTTTCACTATAATAATTCTGGTTTTTCTTTTTAAACTTATTAACAAAAATGTTTCGACGACGGACTTGTAAAAGCCACTAAGCCTTTGTTTAAACGTGTTGAGTCGCTAGTTAATGTCTTAGGTTTTTAATATGCCTAATTAATGCGAAATATTCAAATTTGTTTGCTAATTTTAGACGTGATCTTTTATTCAATTTCAAATCTCTTCTGATTGTGCTTGTTATAAGAAAAAGAAAATCAAGGAATTTCGCCAAATTGAATGTAAAAAATCTGGAAAATCTACTTTCCTTTCAGCTTTCATCGTTGAGATTTTAAAAAAATAATGATTAAAATTTATTAATGCTCTCTAAAGTAATTAATTACTTTTTATCTCTTCAAATTCAGGTTCATTTTATATATTCTTGTGTTTTCTTTAGTTAATTTTTTTTTTTGTATCACATTGCACGCTTTGAATTGTATTTTTCACATCCCTTCGTTTTTTTTCTTTCTTTTTTAAAACGCTACCATTTTAAGGAGGTTCAGATGAAAAATCGTCTAAGGTGATTTTTTTCTTCTCTTTTTGGTACTCAAAGATTCTACTAATTAAATTTCACTTTACTTTCCTTTTATTAAAGTGAAGGAGAGAATCTGCTGATAAAATGCAATTTCTAATGTTCGAGGATTTAGAGAAAATAATATAAAATTCTTGCATGCTTTTCCTCGTTTTCTTTTGGTTTGTTCTTCTGCTTTCTCTCTCTCTCTCTCTCTCTCTCTTTCTTCGTTCATGAAATTCAATGAGAAATGATTGTTAGACGATTAGAAACTTGAATACTTTTCTTCACTATATACTTCATTTTTTTTTTGTTAAATAGTTTCTTGATACAATTCTGATGATCAACAACAATTAATAATTTCAATTTTTTGGTCGTAATGATTTTTTTCTCTAATATTTGATTGATGACATGGATTTTTTTTTACCTGATGAATTGTTGATGAATATTTTTTACTACAAATTTTTGTCCTTCTCTGAGAAAGCTTCTTTTTTCACTTACTAATTTTTGAATTTTAAATTCTTCATTTGTTTACGTTCAATAAATATGTGTTTGTTTAACCAATTAAATATTCAATTTAGATCTCATAACATCAATAACTATTTGACATTTTTTTTATACTCCTTGCGAATTGGTAATGACCTATGATTAATGAGTGTTTTGAGTGGTGTTTTAAACTTATATCTTATGTGTGCTTTTCCTTGATATTTCTGTTTAATCATTGAAAATTTCTGTATTTTCTTTCGTCTGTCTTTTGGCAAAAAATGACTGAGTTAAAGACTTTCTTTTTGCTAAGTTTAATACATTTGTCAATCTATTTTTGAGTTTGAGGAAAGATTTTTCATCATTTTACTATTAAATTCTTTTTTAGTCATTTTTCATTTACTTTTTTTTTTTACTTTAATCACTAATTATAGGTACTGACTTGCTGCTCCGATTTCCTTGACTCATTTCTTCTATTAATTCCTTCCAATCAATTTGTTTTCTTGTCACCTATGAATTGTATTTTTTTTTTTAATATTTGTTTAATATAACTTGTTTTTTTTTCTTTCTTTATTTAGGGTTGTTTGAAAAGTTTGAAATATTTCATCTAAGTTCTATAACATCAAATTTGATATAATAGTGGTGTGAGTGTTATTCATCAATTCTTCATTTAATAGTCAGCTAAAAATTATTCACTCAATTTCTTATTAATCTTCAACAACTCTCTGGAGATTGTTTATTTAATATACCACGAATTTATTTCTATCAAACCACACATTTGTCCTGAAAGTTATTATTATTTTTTCTTTGTTGTTGTTGTATGAAGAAAATCTATTGTGAAATATTTGAACTCATTTGAATTCTTATTTAAAATCTATTTTGGGTGAAAAAAATGTGTGGATTTAAGAATTTTTTCTCTCTCTTTGGCATGAAATATTAAAGTGTTTTTTAGGTATTTTATTCTTCTTCATCGTTTTTTTTTTGTTTTAAATAAGCTCTTATCAGGATTTGTTTAGCAAGCTATTTGATGTTTCTCGATGTTCTTTCATTTCACGCTCAGAATAACGTCTTAACAGTGATTTTTTTTGTTCTTCTTCTTCCTCTTTCACTTATTGTAGCATCTTCAACATGGATATAATTCTTAACCACTCTTTCATAAAACACCTTTCTCCTTTCTCTGAGAATTCTCAAAAATAAATTTAACATGAAGTTTTTTGATTTTTCAAATTTCAATTTCTTTGGTTTTTCTACCCTTTTTTTCCTGCTTCAAAGCATCATTCCATTTTTGTTCTTTGTTTGTCTCTTGAGAATGATTGAAAAAGTAACAAACCCAATTGTGAACGTGAGGCACATATTTTCTTCACTATAAGTGCGTTAATATATTTTCATAAAATTCAATTAATCGCTTTTCTATGGTTAAACAAGACAGAAATCCAATTTATCATCAAATTTCCAATATATATATATATATATTTTGTCCCTCTGCTGTATAAACTTTCACGTGTTGCCAATTGGGAAAATTGCTCATTAAACATATTACAAATAATCAAATTGAGAGTCTTAATAATCTGATCTTCCATCTCTTCTCTTCCGGAGCACTCCTAGTTGGAGTGCTTCGGATCCATGCGCGACGAAAAGGCTACAAACATCCCCGTAGCCTAGAACTCCAGGCGATAGGCCGAACACGAGGTCTCGTGATCCTGCAGATTGATTGTGCAGCGCGACGCCGACGGAGACAGGTCGATATGGTACTTGGCCAGGAGATCCTCATTCTCAGACACCCAATAGCCGAGGACGTCCGTGTCGTATGTGGGAATGATGGTGACTTCTGCAAATTCACACACAAACACTGAATTAAATGCTTCACAGCGAAAAAATCACTGCGCACTCACCTAAATCCTTATTCTCCCAGGTTTGCTTCGCCTCCAGGAGAGCATTGTAGACATCCCGGCTGGGCTCTGTGCCGGAGAAGACGTAGTAGCGCGCCCTGACGCGCTTGAAGAACTCCACGTGGGCGTAGTAGGAGTTCCCGTGGTGCGGCACGTAAGTGAGATCAATGTAGACTGGACTGGTGCTCTTCTTGCCCTTGATGGGCGACTCAGATCGCTTCCGCAGGTTCTTTTCGTTGTTCATCTTTGTCTTGCTGATGATTAGTTTGCGCTCCTTCTTCGGCGTGGTCTTCATCTCATTCTCCGCCGCCATCGGAGCGGGCGACGGCAATCCCAGAGGCTTTCCCCAGGACGCCAGAAGGTCCTCCTTCTCCTTCTGCGTCTCCACAGTGGTTGTGGTTGTGGTGACAGTGGAGGAGGATGCTGTCTCTGTCACTTGGTGTTTCGTGCTCTTCTGGATGTCCTCGAGGTGGAAGGTGGCCTCCTCCTGGACAGTGGACTGCTTCGAGGGCGAGAACTCATACTTGGACGTGATGCTGGACATCACTTCTGGGCCTCGCACTTGTCTTGTCTCCTCCATGGCCTTCTCAAAGTCTAAGTCAGCCTCATCGAGGAACTTGTGATCCGCTGACTTCTTGCTCTCGACAGACTCAAGTGTAATCTTGCTGGTCACAATCGTCTCTGTGGTCATCTTCGTCTCTTCCGGGAGTGCACCGTAAACGGAGGCGCTCATGGGATCTGGCCGGTATGTGGCCGAGACAGGAATGGCAGACTTGACTTCCTCACTTCCGTACTGAGGCGGAATGTCGTCTTGGCTCTCGTCCAAGTCGAATTCCGAGCGCTTGCTCACGCCCGAGCTGGATCTCTGCAGATCGTAGTCATAGGTGAACTTGGAGGCGTGCGAGGTGGCGCTCAGTGGAGAGCTGGCCACTTCCTCATCGCTCACCAGCTTGTCATCCACAGTGGGCTCTGCCTCCGGTGGCATTGGCTTCTCCAGCGTCAGCACACTGGTCGTGACGATGGTGGTTGATCCACTTCTGCTCTCCTTCTCCTCGACAACCTTCGATTCCGTGGCAACAGTGCTGGAAGTGACTGTGGTGACCACGGTCTGTGTGGCTTCCTCAGGGGTGATCTTGGGGAAGGGTTCTGTCGGCTGAGGTGATTCCTTGGAGGCTTCACCAACTGATCCAATGGCCATGGACTTTGAGGCGCTTTCAGAGCTCGTCATTCCACCCGAAGCGCCCGGACTGGACTTTGCGGACACATCTTTGGGAGTGGAGATTGCCGAAGCGTCAGTCGATGGAGTGGCCTTGACTCCGGGACTCACAGGAGCTGTTGGTGGTGTCTTCTTATCCTCCTTCAGCTGCAGATCGTCCGGAACATCCTTCGTGGATGACGAGGCAATCTCTATTTTCGTTGACACCTTTTCCATCACTTTCTCCGTCACTGTTTCAACCACTTTCTCCACCTGAGAGGAAATCTCCTGCACTTCACCCTTCAAGCTCTCCGCCAATTTGTCCACAACGGACTTCTCTTCGGACTTCTTCTCAGACGACGACAATGGCGAGGACTTTCCACTCGTGCTGAGTTCAGGTGACAATTTCCCGCACACTTCGTTCTCAGGCGAGATGGACATCTTCCTCTCGGGCTCCGGAGGCGCTTTGTCTGTGAAGCTGTCGCATCCACTGGATGGTCGCTGCTCATTGATGACCTTCGAGAGCGTCTCAGCGTCATCCTTGGTGTACTCAACCACCTCATCCAGGGCCGAGAGTGGTCTGGAATCGCACGTTGATCCGTACATGCTGGTGACCATGATGGAGCTGACGGACTTCGAGCGGATCTCCTTGAGCAGCGTCTTCTCGTCCTCGTCGCGATCACTGGCCACCGACGAGGAGCGTGATCGTGTCTGCGGACCCGGGGATTTGTCACTGGCGTGACTGGCCACGGAGTCTGGACGTGGCGAGATGGACATCTCTCTCGGGTACTTCTCATCGACGTCACTGAGAGCAGATCCTGGACGAGATGTCTCCAGTTTCTTGGGCGCCGGCGTGGGAATATATCCCTCCCTCACCGGCGGCGAATCATGATGGCTCTGCTGTGATTCTGGGCGTGAACTCTCCACACTTGGTGTCTTCTTTCCCTTCTCGCCATCCTGACTGGCGGATGATGCTGGACGCGATGTGTCTGCCTTGACATCAGCCAAAAGAGGCTTTCCTTGAGTGTCACTGGCTGCTGGCGATTCTCTGATTTCCTGAGACGTTTCCACTGGCTTCTCGCCAACGGATGTAACTGATTGTGGACGTGGAGATGTCTCCGAGGATGGCTTCAGTTGTTCATCATCTCTGGCAATTGATTCTGGACGAGAAGATGATTCCACTTGTGCTTCTGCAACGTCTGGACCTTGGGATGATGTGGGAACACTGACCGGTTCTGGAGTTTTGGTGATCTCTGGGGATTTTTGGGCTTCGTCCTTCACACTGGCGGCGGATTCTGGCCTGGAAGTTCCCTTTGAGGGTGGAGTTAGTGTCTTACCTTCGTCCTCCTTGCCAGTGGCGGATTCTGGGCGTGAGGATTCCTTGGAAGTTGCTTCTGGAGTCTTCTCCTTGGGCAAGTCTTTGGGTTCTGAGTGAATGGCTTCTTTTGGCGATGACTCAGGAATCTCCGGAGACTCCTTCTTTCCCTCTTGTGCGTCTTTCTCACTCATTCTCGACTCTGGGCGTGATGCTTCTTTGGATTCTGCCTTTGGGATGTCTTTCTGCGGTGAGTCAGCTTTAGCGGGTTCCTCCTTTTCACTGACATGACTCGCCACAGAAGCAGGTCTCGAGGATTCCTTGGAAACTTCTGACTCCTTCACTTTCAACTCTGTCTCCTTCTCACTCACATGACTGACTGCAGATTCCGGTCGAGACGCTTCCTTCTCCTGTGCAGACTCTGGCCTTGAAGGTTCTTTAGAAGGAACTTTCAATTCACTCTCCTGCTTTTCTCCAGACGCCGATTCTGGCCTGGATAATTCCTTGGGCGATTCTTCTTTAACGGCATCTTTGTCACCAACAGTCGAGGCGGGTCTTGATGATTCCTTGGAGGGCACTTTCTGGTCCTCTTCCTGTTTGGAAGCGACACTTGCAGCGGATTCAGGTCTAGACACTTCTTTCGGAGCTTCCTTCACGCCATCGCTGGCTGGAGATTGTGTTCTGGTAATCTCTTTGGGAGATTCTGTCTCAACTTTCGAAGTTTCTGCCACAGATTCTGGCCTTGACATTTCCTTCGGCGATTCTTTAGCAACTTCTTTCTCAATCTCTTTAGTAATTGTTGTGATTTCCTCTTTAGCGCTGACAATTGAGTCAGCCCGGGAGGCTTCTTTGACTTCTGCTTTGACCTCAGAGGGCTCGTCTTTCACACTGGCTGCGGATTCTGGTCTTGAGAGCTCTTTGGGTGATTCCTTGCTCACATCTTTGGCCTCTTTCTGAACCTGAAGAGACTCATCTTTCACACTGACAACCGATTCTGGCCTGGAAACTTCTTTCGGAGACTCTTTAGCAACTTCTTCTTTTGCACTGGCGGAAGAAGCTGGTCGAGAAGCTTCCTTGGATTCAACTTTAAGCGCTGAATCCTTTCCACTGGCTGCGGATTCAGGCCTTGAAGGTTCCTTTGAAGCTGCTTCAGGTTTAGGACTCTCCTCCTTTGCACTAGCAACTGATTCTGGCCTGGAAAGTTCCTTCGGAGACTCTTTAGCAACTTCTTTGACTTCTTCCTTTGCACTGGCAACTGATTCTGGTCTAGAAAGTTCCTTCGGAGACTCTTTAGCAACTTCCTCCTTTGCACTGGCAACTGATTCTGGCCTGGAAGGTTCTTTAGAAGCTGCTTTAGTGCCCTCTTCAGACTTTACGACAACCTCTTTATCACTAGCAACACTGGCGGATGATTCTGGCCGAGAAGTTTCTTTTGGTGAATCCTTAACATCTTTACTGGCCACGGCAGGCTCGTCTTTCGCGCTGGCTACCGATTCTGGTCTTGAGAGTTCTTTGGGTGACTCCTTGGAAAGATCTTTCTCAACTTTAGAAGTTTCTTCCTTTGCACTGGCGACAGATTCTGGTCTTGAAGCATCTTTAGTCGCCTCCTTAACTTCTTCAGTAACTTTGGAAGCATCCTCCTTGACACTAGCGACAGACTCTGGCCTGGAAACTTCCTTCGGAGACTCTTTAGCAACTTCTTCCTTTGCACTGGCGGATGAAGCTGGCCGGGAAGCTTCCTTGGATTCAACTTTAAGCGCTGAATCCTTTCCACTCGCCGCAGATTCAGGCCTTGAAGGTTCCTTTGAAGCTGCTTCAGGTTTAGGGCTCTCCTCCTTGACACTGGCAACCGATTCTGGCCTAGACACTTCCTTCGGAGACTCTTTAGCAACTTCTTTGACTTCTTCCTTTGCACTGGCAACCGATTCTGGCCTGGAAGGTTCCTTTGAAGCTGCTTTGGTACCTTCTTCAGACTTCACGACAACTTCTTTATCACTAGCAACACTGGTGGATGATTCTGGCCGAGATGTCGCAGCAGCAGGAGATCCCTTGAGTTCCTCCTGTTTCTCAGATTTCACACTAGCCGACGATTCTGGTCGGAATGGAGCTTTAAGTGTGACTTCTTCCTTATCTCCAGTCGTCGATTCTGGTCTTGAGGCCTCTTTGGAAGATGGCTTTAGATCCTTGTCGCAAGTCACAGATTCCGGACGCGATGATTCCTTGGGGAGTTTTTCATCACTCACATGACTAGACACAGATTCTGGTCTTGATGGCTCCTTGGACACTGGAGCTTTGGAGTCAGCTTTGTCCTTTGCCACGGATTCCGGCCGAGAGGCTTCTTTGGGTGGTGTTGGCGAAGGAGTTGCCGCTTTCACTTCCTCTTTCTTATCGCTGGCGGAAGATTCTGGTCTTGAGGCTTCTGCGTGTGGCGATGGAGTGGCATCCTTGGTGTCTTCCTTCTTCTCACTAGCAGAAGATTCTGGACGAGAAGGCTCCTTGGAGACACTTAGAGCTTCCTTTTCCTTCTCACTACCTGTTGATTCAGGCCGCGATGGCTCCTTTGAGGCCATCAATTCTGGTTCTTTTGCACTCTGAGCAGATTCTGGGCGAGAAGCTTCCTTGGAGACGCTTAAAGCTTCCTTTTCCTTCTCGCTAACAACAGATGCTGGTCTTGAAACTTCTTTTTCTGCGGATTCCTTGCCAACGTCTGCAGATTCTGGCCGTGAAGGTTCCTTTGAGGCGACTAAATCTGTTTCCTTTGCACTCTGAGCAGATTCTGGGCGAGAAGGCTCCTTGGAGACACTGAGAGTCTCCTTTTCCTTCTCGCTAACAACAGATGCTGGTCTTGAAGCTTCTTTTTCTGCGGATTCCTTTCCAATATCTGCAGATTCAGGCCGCGATGGCTCCTTTGAAGCCATCAATTCTGGTTCTTTTGCACTCTGAGCAGATTCTGGGCGGGAAGGCTCCTTTGAGACGCTTAAAGCTTCATTTTCCTTCTCGCTACCTGTTGATTCTGGCCGTGAAGGCTCCTTTGAGGCGACTAACGCTGTTTCCTTAGCACTCTGAGCAGATTCTGGGCGAGAAATCTCCTTGTCAGATGATTTCTTCTCATCAACTTCTGTCTTCTCTTCAGACTGCTCGTGATCCTGCTCAAGTTCCTCGATGGATTTCACGCTCGCGTGACTGGCAGCTGAATGAGATCTGGGAGAGTCTTTCGCACTTATTCCCAAGGATGTCTCATCCTTGGTGATATCTTTCTCACTCAAGAGACTCAGAGCTGATTCTCGACGAGAAGCTGTGGCTTCCTCCACTTTGGCCTGCTCTGCGGCACTCTTGGCGGGCGATGGAAGAGCTTTAGGGCTCTCCTCCGCCTTCTGCTGCACCTTCTCCGAAAGCTCGTGCTTGTCCTTCTCTTCAATGGAAATCGGAGAGGTCTTGATGTCCGGAGAAGACTTCCCTGACTCTGGCTTCGACTCACTTGGGATGGATTTAATACTAGTGGAGGAGGATTTTTGAGAATCCATGTCCAGACTCAAGTCGTGTTTCTCATCTACGCTCGGTTTGGGTTTCTCTTCGGCTGATTTTGGTGTCTCCTTCGAGTCCTTGGGGACATCCGGAGATGCTTTTCCCGAAGCGATTTCTGGCGTGAATGTGATGCTGCCTTCAGGACAAATTTCAATCTCTTCTCCACCATCTTCGCTACTCGCGGTGACCAGCATTCTCTGCACTGCGGCACCTTCAGCGTCACTGCGAGCACTCTCGCGTGACAGCTTCCTCTCCAGCTCCTCAGGATCGAAGTCAGGGATGATCTCCTCGAGGTCTTTGTCAGACTTCAGCACTTCAGCAACATTCGCCACGATCTTTGCCACTTCTTCGGGTGTTCTTGGCGAGACAGATCTCTTGGGCTCTTTCAAATCCTGCGAAGTTTGAGTCTCTATCAGATCGGGAGTTTTTGTGGACATTTGTGGCTCTGGATCTTTGTCAGCGACAATTGTCGGAACAGAATCCTTCATTTCTGGAGTTTTCCTTGGCGGAGATTCTCGCTCATCCTCATCTTCCTCCTTGATATCGTTGAGATTTGAGTCTTCACGCTCAAATACCGTGTACTTGATGTCCTCAATCTGGAAGGAAGACATGGTTCCACGCTGAGGAGAAGTTTCCTTCTCCTCGTCCACATGCTCAGGAAGCTTCTCGAGGATTTCCACGCCAGCTCCCAGAATTCTCTCTGGCTCCTTGACTGGTGAGTCCAAAGTGGTGATATGAGTCTCTCTGAGTTCTGTGGTGAATCCCTTGATTTCGTACGGAAGTGACGCCGCCTCTTCGACTTTCTGCCCAATCATCAAGTCCTCAATCTTGTCTCCAATTTTATCAGCATCAGCCTTGATGCTATCTGCAATGTCACCCAGCAAGGATGGAACTTCAGATTTGGCCTTCTCCTCAATTTCCTGTACTTCTTGAGTGATTTCTGCGATCTTTGAATCAACTTTCTCAGCGGTTTCCATGAATTTCTCATCGATTTCCTTCGAAATTGTCTCCAGTTTGTCTGATACTTTTTCAGCCACTTCATCAATAGCTTTGGTAGCTTCCTGTTCTTTCTCTTCCAGTACTTCCTTGCCTTTTTCTTCAATCTGCTCCTTAACTTCCTCAATTTCTTCAACTGCTTGTGCCACAATTTCCCCAATTTTCTCCTGCACTGCCTCACCAATCTCTTCTGTTTCCTTGACTAGAGACTCCTTAATATCAGTATCCTCAACAGCGGGCGGCGACGGTGTCTTCTCCACCTTAACTTCCTCCTCTGCGATCTCCTTGGCAGGTTCTTTGTCGGTCACTTCTGTCACAGTCTTTAGTTCCTCCATCTCTTTAGTCTTATCAAGTTCTTTCCTATCTACGTCAGTCTCAACTTTGCTCTTTGCATCAGCAATCACAGCATCTTTGCTCTCCGGAGCAGAAACGGTGTCGTACGAGACGTAATCCACTTCCTCGTGCACCGGCAGATCCGCCACCTCGTCGGGCGTCTTGATGATGTCCCTGATGGGTGTCTGGTGCGCCGGGAACTGCATTCTCTGTGGCACCGCGCGCTCCATCATCGGCTCAGACGCTTTGGGCGGTGACGAGGCGGCTGTTGTGGGAGCTGCAGCCACCGCGGTGGCGCTGTCAGGCAGCTCTATCTCCTTGGTATCCTCCTTCACGTACTTCTCCTCAATCACGAGATCCTCCTTGATCTCGTCCAGTGGAATTCGCTCATCTTCTGGCAAAGTGGGAGCAGTTGTGGCTCCGGACTCAATTGTGGCGGAGATCTTCTCATCAGGCTGACTCTCAGGGAGCTCCTTGGCGGCATCTTTGACTACACCCGGCTGTTCTCCATCCATATCGCCCTCATCTTTGGTATCTGTGGTCTTCTTAGTGCTGCTCAGCTTATCTTCGGGACTCGGAGTGGAAATCTCTTCGGTCTTCGGCGCTAATTCGCCCTCCTTGATGTCTGCTTTGGTCTTGGCAATCTCCTTAGCAGATGAGATAATATCCTGCACTTCCTCCTCAAGTTTCTCCTTCATCTCTGACTTCTCCTCAACCTCAGCGTCTGACTTTTCAATCTCAATTGTGGCGGCGCCCTCAATGATCTGGACTACTTTGGGTTTATCCTCTGCTTCCTTCGCTTCTGTCTCGTGACTGGCTTTGCGCTTCTTCTCCGACTCCTCAGAGTCGCGCTGATACTTCTGAATCTCCTCCTCCTTCGTCATGCTGCTCTCTGGCTCATTGATTGAATCCTCTGTGTACTGCTCAACCTCCTCCTTCTCAATGATCAAGTACTCTTCCTCCTCCTCAGCCTCTGTGGTGCTGTCCTGCTTCGAGATATCAGCAGCCAAGTCCCGATGTTCAGCAAGGATCTGCTTCTGCCTGGCCTTCTCCTGGTCTCGCTTGAAGACAGCTTCAATCTCACGAACAGCCTCCTGCTCCTCCTTCATCTCATCCAGCTCCCTCTGCTTCTCCGGATCAATCTCCTTCTCTGCCACCTCCACGATGGCCTTCTTGGCGGCGTCATCGGCACTCGGAGTGGACACAAGGCTGGAGTCTGTAGTGCCGCCCTTGTCGATCTTCGCCTTCCTCAGCTTGGCGTCCCGATCAACTTTGCCCAGGATGCGTGACTTTATTGGGCTTCCGGGACCCACTCTTCTCGGCGGAGATTCGCCCTTCGGGCGTCGAGAGATGGGCTTGCGCTCCACCTTGACGGGCTCCTTCTTCTCGGATGGCTTTGCCGTCGCCTTGGCGGCCGGAGCAGCAGTTTTCTTGGACTCCAGCACCTTGCGATTGTTCGCCTCCTTGGCACTCTTGGCAGGAGTGCTTCCTGGACTGGAGCGCAGCGTGCGCGACACAACCTTGGCTTTCACCTCCTTCACTTCCGCCTTGGTCGCCGTGCCGTTGACGATCTTCGCGTCAGCCGTCTTCTTGGGCGTTGACGTGGGTGAGGATTTGGTGGTGGAGGCATCTCTCTTCTCCATAACATCCTTCTTCGCGGCCATAGACTTCGGCGGCCGGGAATCGATGCGAGACCTCACGGGAGCTTTGGTATCAACTTTCGCTCTGGCTTTAGCCTCACCCTTGGATTTGGTTTTGGACTCGCCGTCGGTGTCCTTGCTGGACTCTGTCTCTGTCATTTCGTCCGCTTTCTTCTCATCCTCCACACTCTTGGGCACTTCGCCGTCCTTCCTCTCATCGTCGGACTTCGCATCGGCATCGCTCTTCTTCTCCACCAGCTTGGGCTTCGGCTTGATCGCTGCGGGCTTCGAGGGTGTCGCCTTGGCCTGCTTCTCGATCTTCAGGTCCTCCGTGGAGCTCTCCATCTGTCCGTTGAGTTTGTTCTCCTTCGCCTTATTGTCCGCCTGTGCTGACTTGAGTTTGTTGTCCATGGCGCGATTGTCCTTCTCCGAGGGCGCCCTGATGGCCGCCTTGGACGGCAGAATGGCGTCCTGCAGGATCTTGGCACTGTCCATCTGCGGCCCGCCGGCTTTCAGTGCTTTCTTCGCGTACGCGGATTCCGTCAAGCTGGGCGCAATGGTCTTGGCACTGCACACGGGATGCTTCATGAACTCCAGGTGCTTGATCTTGTCCAGGCCCTCTGTGATCTTGTAGTCTGGCGTGCTGCCGGGGAAGAGGATGCGCGTGATGGTGTCCTCGGGACTGGCGGGCTGCCACACGAGCAGGGCGCAGATGGAGACGAGATTCTGAATGGGGAAGCTGAACTCCTTGGCGTCGCGCGACATGAAGAGACTCGAGTCGCCGGCCGCCCACTTGTGCAGGAACTCCTTCACCTCTTTGGCATCTCGAGATGGGCTTATCACATACATATCGAGAGTCCCGTGTCCCACTTTGTGGTACAGATTGATCGGCTCGGTGTCGCGGTAGCACACCTGCGGCTTCAGATTGATGCCGCGGAGGTTCGCCACGAGCTGGTGACCCTTCTCGTTGAGGTCAATGAGGAGGGGATCGCGGTCTTTATCACCGTCGGGGCTGAGGGCGTTCTTGCGCTCTGGGATGTTGCAGAAGAAGTGGCCAATCTGCGGATACACCTGGCCGTGCTGCTTGCGCTCAGCCACAGCACTGATGCCGTTGATGTTGCAGTTATTGAGACGCGTCATCAGCACGGCGTCCAGGCGATCCAGGTGTCTGGCGAAGTCCCAGAAGCACGCCTTCCTGTTGAATCCTCCGTCGACTGCAAAGAGATTGTACATTAATCGTCGGATCCTTTGGTGAATTGTGGATTGGCGGTGAAGAAACTCACCCAACATGTTGAATCCGTTGATGCCGAAGAGAGCCGCATCGCCTTGTCCCCCGGGGAAGACATACAGAGTTGGATGACTGAAGCGGATGTTTCCGACGACATCTGACGTCTCCAGCAGCTCATGAAGACCCGCCGGGCTCACCATGGGCGCCAAGTAGTCTGTTTGGAAGGTAGCCAATTAGTGAATGGACAAATTGCACACTTTTTCTCTGCACTTTTGCAAAATCGGCTTAGATGTGAATTTCTTCCTCCCCATTTTTTCCATGTGAGATGAAAGTCTTGAGGAGAGAAGAGACTCAGTGTGTTGCGAAAAGTTTCCATTTTCAAGCAAAAGTTTGGGCTAATTTGAAATTCATATGAGCATCTGAGAGATGCGGGAAAGTGGAAGAGAAGATCTAATGGAATCATGAGAATGTGTGTAAGATTATTTGTTTGTCAAGTTCTTCATCGCGCATTTCACTGTCTCAAGACATCTTCCAGTATTTTAACGGGAAAACTTGAGAGTTTTTCCACTCTCTTGATCCCACAACACTGTTAGTCTCTGTCTTACCGATAAATGCATTAATCTTTTCACTTCCAGAATTGAGGACATCCACAGGATTTATGCGAATCTTGCACAACTTTGCGTATGACTTCTCCGGCAAGGATGTCCAGAGACCAGCAGCAGCACAGTGAATGTCCATGGTGATGGTGTCTGGATATGCGCGTAGGACGCGCTGCACTTCGTGCTCCTGGAAGGCTTCAGAGAAATCCGACACGGAGAACGTTCCGTCCTGAAAAGGAGGCGAAGCAGTGAGTTGCTTTTTCACACGTTCCAACGCTCAAGATAGTGCGGGTTTTTTCACTCCCCACAGCAGAAGAATGGGTGAGACTAAAAATGATTACGGCTGATGTTATCAATTATGAATTGCAGAAGCGCGTGAATTTCATCCATTTTTCAAGACGATGCGGAATTTTCTCTGTGAAATTTTTATCTCAATTGCCGGTGCTTTTTTTTCCTTTTTTCCCCTCCCATTTCTACATAGCCAAGTTTCCTCGTCAATGATGCATCAAAAGAAAAGGAAAGGCAGAGTGCGAAGGTTGCGCTTCGTGAAGCTATAGTTGATAAAAAAGCCAAAAGCACTCTTCTTGTGGCAAATAATAACGTGAGCCATAAATCACAAAATGTATTTGCGCTCGAGAAGTAAACTTGTGCACGTGTAATGGAATTTGTTGCAAGTTATTAATTATTAATTATATTCTGAAGGATACGCGCGCCTGCCATGGCACAGAAAGTCTCCTCACAACCCACAGATAGTTGTGTGGCATTTTGCGAGCGAGCAAAACCAGGTGAAAGCTCACCATGGCGAAAAGCTTTTACCATGGCGATATTACAAAAATAGGAGGCAAAATTAATTTCCTGCGAAATTTCATCATTCTGCATTTAGTGCGGTCTTGTCGCTTATTAAGTGCGCCTTTTTAATTATATTTTGTTGTCAGTGATGCAATTAAAACGGAACTGTTTGCACTAATTTCACAGTTTGATTAATGCATAACATGTATCACAGTATTGATAGTGATTTTACAAAATTGTAAATACAACATCATTTCTGCGTCAATTCCTCGTATTTATATTCGCTTGAGTGCAAATATTGTGTGAAGGATCAGAGTAAATTCAATCATAATCCCTTGTAATATAAAAAAAAAACATTCTGAGTTGAGTGAAAGAGTGACTGTTAAGTAATCCTTTTAGCGGATCCTTAGTAATTAGGACAGCTTTTAGATTGCCCAAAGAGAGTCTGTGGGGAAATTCTTACTCTGTGCAGAAAGAGATGTAAAAGAATTGCCGTGGAAAAAAGGGAGTAAAAAGGAAAAAAACTGTGCCAATTAGAGATTCCCTTGGCAAAGAGCAATATTCAGACACGAAATATGTAAATTTCGTGCTGGTGTAAATGGTTATCTGCATGTAAATCCGCTTTCAAACACTTTTCCTCCAGTCTGGTTTGGTGTAAAACAGGTGAAAACCACTTTTTGTGCAAGTCTATAAGACGAGTTAGAAGACAAGTTCTTCCATTTTGATAAACAATTAGGCTGGAAATTGGCAAGAAAATAGGCAATTTTGGTCTTGTTTGGGCAAAGAAAAATGAATAAATCAATCCTTGAAGGGCAATTATGGGTTCAATTCACTTCATGTTCAGCACTCACCTGCAAAATCCAAGATCCATTGCCAGAAAACGTGTAGCCAGCGTGAATGATGTGTCTGTGACGAGTGAAGCTGCTCAACAGATTTCTCATACATTGAATCAATGTATTGTATTGAGGATGAATCAGAATTTCCGTAACTAAATTCTCACTAGCATACTGTATCAATCGTTCACCTGGAAGAGAGATGAAAGAGTGAAGAAATTGATGAATTCTCTGTAAAAATTCCATTCGCAGAGTCAATCTGCAACCCTTGTTGAATCCCCTTTTATTTCCATCTCGCGCGCGTGGAATTTTTCTCCATTTCGCAATATCATATTGATGGGTTTCCATCTCAATTTCCTTCACCCATTCAATCTGTGTGATGCGCGCTCACGGAGGCAAATGAAATGAAATGTGGAAATAAGCGGATGGATTACGATTTGGACACATTCTCCTCATCGCCCAAATGGATGATGATTGAAAATCGATACATCCACGCAATTCTGCCCACAAATTCTTCCTGTTTACGAGCTCAGAGCGCTTCTGCTCGACCCAATTAACCCCTTTATACACGCGAATGTTCGCACTTTTGCCATTAATCAATTTTACATATTTGGAGACACGCTGGAATACCAACAGAGTTTTTGCAGACAAATCACTCGTCATTTGTGCGCTGTTCGGCATTCAATAAATTTTCATTAAACCACATTTTGCAATCCAGACAGATTTCACCAGTCAAAATGCTCACTCGTCAATCCTAAATATAATCAATATTAATCCATTGGCCATTTGCTTGATTTGCAGATTTGCGTCAAGCTCACTTTGACAGGCAATTTCTTAATCTTCCTTCGTCATATCCATATAATTCATAGGATTCACGAGCACTGCACCTTATCTTTCCTTCTTCCAGACGGCAAGTTTTGCAGCTTCCAAACTTCCAGTCAAGTGCAATTGCTCTGCGATTCACTCATGTTCAGCATTCATTCATATGGGGAAAAATATTAATTTTTAAGATCAGCAGAGAGAGAGAAAGAATCATTTCTCAAAATGCCAATTTTATGTTTGATGTTTCATGTCGCCCGCAAGGCAGAAAAGGTTCGTCGGATGAAAAGTATAATTTGATCTCGATGCGGAGAAATTTAGACATAAATGGAAATCCCGTGTGATTTGAATTGGAAGAACAAGAAAGGCAGATTTTCTACTGCGCAGAATGTCTTCGTCAATAAATCGAGACATGGAAATTGCTTATTGGGATGTAGAGAAAGGCTTTTGATGAGAAAATATCTAATTGATTAAAATATAAAACTTCTCTAAAGTCTTCTTTTCTTTGTCAAACATAAAAATCCATCAAGAGTTTGACGGAGAGAAATCGAATTCTGGCGTGATTTCTTATCGCAAAAAAATCAATGTTCTGAATGTCAATGAGGACGAAATCTCTTGGATTACTTCCTGACTCTGCACGAGACAAATGATTTTCCCCTGACCGTGCCAAAAAGTGACAATCCCACGCGCTTAAGCAATCTCTTTTGGCCCCCCAAAGAATTCCACACGATAAGCGACGGATTTGGGGCAAAATGGGCAAAATCGAAAAACGTATGAAGAAAGAGAGATAGAAATCATTGCGGATTATTCTATGGGAGAGAAGTTGTCTAAAAGCCAAAGGCTCAAGATAACTAATTACGATAATTGAAAATAATTTTTGCTGTGGAATTCTTGAAGCGAATTTAGCGAAAAATTTCTCCAGATATTGAGCAAAAAGTTTTCTACACGAAATTTTAATTGAAAATGCATCTGATTGGATTCCTTGATCAATTCACAGGAAAGATTGAGTATATTTGAAGGTGCGTAATTTAGAGAATTTCAACTGTTTTGCAGTGAATTGAAGGAAAAATCAAAGACATTTGGTAGTTTTTTTGTCAAATCGCATGTTGTAACTGCTTGATTCTGACACGGTTATCATTAATCTCCCTTTTCAAGACTGCCTTTCGTGGGTTCACAACTATCACCATGTCTGCGTGGATGCTTAATCCCCTTGAATGGCGTGGATTTATCATGGATGACACCTTCTTCCTCTCTCCGGGGAATATTTGACAATTTATCATTACGTGAAAACTGTACGACAATTTCAGCTGGTCATATTCACTCCTCCCTGAATGATGAGGCGTCCATTGTTCAGGGAATGTGTGTGTGCATCTCTCCAAGGGAGACAGATGTTATCATGATGGCCTCGGAAGAGCTTCTCTTCAGAATCCATTCCACGAAGAGTGAAGAATTCTCTCTCTTTGGCGACTGCAATGTTGCTTTTTGAGGAAGCTCCAAATCCATTAAAACCACACTTCTAGTCTAGATTAATAGCGAGACTTTCATCCCATCAAATTGGCACAGATTTACAAACGTGTAAAAGTTATCATTGGTGGTGTTTGTGTCTCTTTGAAAATGTCCTAATATTACTTCCTCATTTCCCATGCAAATTCCTGGCACATGCTGTAGTTCTGTGTCACAATGTTGACACTTTGCATAAATCTCACAGCTTAAATAGCTACAATCGCTGCAATACAACAATCCGCCTTTGATGACACACCAAAAGCTATGCATGTAAAAGTCCAATGGACTTCCCGAGGGGATTTCTCGTTGCCGTGAATCATTCATTCCTGCATTTGTACATTCGCCAAAGAGAGAGAGAGAGAGTGAGAGAGATCTAGGAAGAACAAGGAAATGGAAAGGATAATCGAATTTTAGTTGAATGCAAAATTCTCGCTATTTTTCACACAAAAACTGCGCCTCTGCAAAACTCTTTCTAAGACTTCTCCTCGCTGTTGGATAAAATGTAAATTTCAACTTTTCAAACGAAAACTCAAAAAGAAAACAGTCCTTTCACTGTGCTGAAAAGGCCCCGATTGGTGTTTCACGGTGTGGAAAATGAATGGTGTGTGTATTTTCATTGAAAATGGTGAAGGAAAAGATACGCGAAGCTTTATCACACAACCTTCTGGGGAGCATTGAAAGTCTCTCACAATCTTGATGGGCTTAATGAATACATAATTAAGGCTGTTTTCGGGGTTGGTTTGTATATGTTTGTATGTGTTTTTGTGTGTGTCACCCCGAGAATATATGGTTTGATAAAAGAAAAATATGCTCTGTCTTAGAATATAAATTTCACAGTCACGGTGAAACGTGCTTATGCAAAACCGGATGGCGAAGGCATTGTCAAATGGCTGAAAAGCTTGAGAAATCATAAAAATCCCTCTTAGTTTTTCCGCAGTTTCAAAACTGTTCAAGCGCACAGTTCCCATTGCATAACTCATGAAATGCATCCCAAAGAAGAAACAGCAGTGCTTAAATGTTCTTTGAAATGTAGATTTTATGCAAAACTTTGGCAAACTTCACCACTTGCGTCACGGCTAAAGTGCAAAAGAATTCACTGAAAGAGGTGAGAAAGAGTAGCAATCATTAAATGCGTCTCTTTATTTGATATCTTGATCTTTTGAGGGAAGAATAAAGTAATCATTGTGAGAAGTGTTGTTGCAAAAATCAATGGAGATGTTATTAAAGTTATAAATTGGGAAATAATATTGATTATTATTGTAACCACAAAAGGAGCCCAAAATGGCCCCAAATGTCACACCCTGAGTTCTCAAACAATGAAGCAAAAGTTTGTGTTTCTCATGGCAGTGTAATTAAGACGGGATATTGAATAGTCATCAATCAAGAAATGTGAGTTTATTTAGAGAAACAGAAATGCCCATGATGATGATGTATTATTCTAGAGCACGGCGAACTAATTTAATTTTGTGGTTTTCTGTTAATTCAACAATCACCCTCGAGGGTTTATCTCTCACTCAACCACATCGTTATGTCTAGCAATTCACTGAGAAGTCATTATTTGCATTAGTATTCATGCCATTCCCTCTGTTTCAATCGTATTTTCCTACTGATATTATTTGATAAAGTGAACATTTTTGAGTTTTTTTCAAGCATTCTAAGCCTTTCAATAGTCACTAAATTGATAGAAATGCTTTGAATGTGTATTTGAAGAAAAAATGTAACTAATTTTAGGACATTTTCGTCCTTGTCACTCATTAAAGTTTATAATATTTTCCCCACCAAAGCCAAATATTGAATCCATCAGCGTTGACGAAATGGAAATTTCCCTCGAAACACACTCGTATTAGACTTTTTATACATGTAATCCAGTTGAGATGTGGGAGGGACGCTTTTTTATTGATCAGAAATCTCCCATAAAGCCACAGGAAGAGCGGAGGTGGGCGAAGAGATTCAAATCAAGTGAGGAAAAATTCATATTCACAGTGTGAGGCATTTCTTATAATAGGCTGTATTGAGGCTATATTGCGATATCCTTCTTCAATGTGAACGAAATGCAAAAAGGAGGGATGAATAGTGTGGGGATGTCGGAAGGATATGGAAAAGGATTGTGAGAAGCGCCCAGCGATTAAAGTTCCTTTTTTTCTGCCATGTCGTCAATTTTATGATTTCTCTCACATCCTATATTTCACCTCCAGCGCGCGAGATCCTCTTAGAGAAGAATCTCCTTGCCGACAAAAGAGGAGGGCAAAGAAAAAAAAAACACTGAATAAGATCGAAATATCCTGGGCTCAAGGTTAGCCAATGAAGGCACTGAATGAAGGCAATTGATGAGATAATTTTCTTTGATGGCGCGCTCGAAGGGTGCAGAAAACGCAAGAGGGAAAATTTACAAGCACACATTTCTCTAAATTACACTTTAGTTATTATGATAACCTCTTGACCCACATCAACACATTAAGGAGGACACGTTAATTTAACGTGCCAAGCACAGAGCTTGTGCGAAGAGTCTTTTTCCTGTGTGGCGAACTTCTTGTGGGGCAGAAAAAAAATCGGAGGCGTTCTTGAGGGTGGAGATGGACAAAGTGTTTCCACGGAGTCTGAAACATCACTTTGGGCGTTTGCTGGGAATCTCATTCAGAGCTTTCACAACACACACACACCCCAACGAAACCACCCTTAAGCTCACATTGCTGGCACTTAAGCTCTCTCGCCAGACAAAACTTGGACAAAATGTTGTTGAAAAATGTCGAGAATTCTCCATAGAGGAGAAATAATAATAATCCGTGGCTTTGTGGGTGAAATTGCAGAGTAATGCTCTGAGACTGTGTTTAGAAAAGTTTTTCTATGCAAAAAATGGGAGAAGAATTTA